GAATTAAACCCCAGTCTGATGGAATGAACCTGTCAGATACCGGCACCGATGACCGGAATCTGGTAAAGAAAGAAAATAAAAGAAGATAAGAACAAAAAGGAAATTCCGATAATTTTTCTCTACTGATTCCAAATGACAGTCACACGAGATAATAGCCATTTCCTCCGGATTTCCAGAAGTAATGATGCCAGCTTGGGCAGCTTCTAGAAGGAAATGCTTGAGTAAAAAGCAATTTGTCCTTTAATGTTTTACAGATGCCAATTACTACAAACAACAGTAACTAAGACATAATTACAAAATATCTCCTACTTTCCGCATATTAAATAAACTCCCCCAAATTACTATAAATTTTACTTTAGCCCCTTTTCAGAAAGCTGGTTCCTGACAACTTTCCCTTGGTTAAAAACTCCTTGTCTTCAAGGTTTGAAAGTGGGAAACTAGCTGTGAATGAAACCTTGATCCTCCCAAGAAGTATCCTCAGCAAGCAGACCCTTCCAGAGTACTAACCATTGCACCACCTATTTACTATTTCTAACAACAAATCTTCTTTTCAAAACTTTCTCAGGTTGGAGTGTACATTCATCAGCATTTGAAAAATCAGGAGGTGGGGTACTTGATACAGGCTTTCCACCACGATGTTTCTTTAGCAAAGAGACGTGGAAGACTGGGTGGATATTGACATGTGATGGAGACTTGAGCCTATAAGCTACACTACCCACTTTACTGATCACTTCATAAGGGCCATAGTACATGTATGATAACTTAAAGGCGGTTTCTAACCTCCACTGTGGTCTGCCTATATGGCTGCAACTTGAGGTAAACCCAGTCCCCTACTTCAAAACACCTTTCCCTTCTGTTTTGATCTGCATAATACTTCATCCAATGTTGTGCGACTTGCAGCTTTTCTTGTAGTAATTTGAGGATGTTGGCTTTCTGTTGAACCATATCATGCGCTACAGGAATCACACTATCAAAAAAAGAACCAAGTGGAAATGGTACCGGCTTCTCACCATAGAGTGCTTCATATGGGGACATTTGTATACTGGAGTGGTAGGATGAGTTGTACCACCATTTAGCAAGAGATATCCACTGGCTCCAGCTACTAGGCTTTTCGCTACAAAAACAGCGTAGGTACGCTTCCAAACACTGATTTGTTTGCTCTGTCTGCCCATCAATCTGGGGGTGATAGGAATGCTCATTTTCAGTTTGACCCCCAAATGATCAAAGAGAGTTTGCCAAAACTGGCTAGTGAAAACCATGTCCCTGTCAGTGATGATGTCCTTCGACAATCCATGTAACTTGAATACTTCATTCAGAAATTTTTCGGCAACCCTAGCAACCGTAATGAGAAGTTCCAAAGCTATAAAGTGGTTGTACTTTGTTAAGCGGTCCACAACCACCATCACTGTATCAGAAACTCCAGAGAGGGGTAGTTTTACTACAAAATCCATCGAAATGTTTTTCCGGGCATGGCTAGGAATCGGTATTGGTTGCAGCAATCCAGGGTAAGGCACATTCTCCGATTTACTCCTTTGGCACACTACACACTATCTTACATACTCCTCTACCTCTTTCTTCATTCCTGGCCAATAGAAAATAGATTTTAGTCTCTGCCAAGTGACGTTCTGCCCTGAATGACCTCCCAAGGCAGATTAATGAAAAGCTGACAGTAATTCCTTCCTCAGGGAGTTCCCTGATCCTATGTAAATCCTTCCCTTCTTCCTAAGTAGCCCCTGGATGTACTGGTATTCCTGGTCCTCTTTCGGCTTAATGGTGATGTCAGCAATGAGATCCCTGGCAGTCGTATCAGTCTGGTAGCTCTGGATGACTTCTTGTATCTAGTCAGGTTGAAGTGTGGTAATGGCTGATAGATTGGAGGTTGCAGAAGGATCCTCCCTTCTGGACAAAGCATCTGCCACCTTGTTGGTCTTCCCTTGCTTGTATTGTATCTCGTAGTCGTATCCCAGTAGCTTGGTTAGCCACCTTTGTTGTTGAGCGTTGACAACTTTTTGCTCCAGGAGGTATTTGAGTGAATGGTGGTCTGTTCTGATGATGAAGTGGTTGCCCAGGAGGTAATGACGCCACCTTGTAACTGCTAGAATCACCGCCATTAGCTCTTTTTCGTAGACAGAGAGGCCCTTGTTTTTCTGGGTGAATGCTTTGCTTAAGAAGGCGATGGGTTGTCCTCTCTGCATCAGTACTACCCCCATGTCGTTGTCTCTGGCATCCGTCTCCACCACAAAAGGCTGAGTGAAGTCTGGCATCTTGAGCACCGGCTGTTCTGTTATCATCTTCTTCAATTGCTAAAAACTGACTGTGCCTTGTCGTTCCAGCCAAAAGCGTCTTTCTTCAACAATTCTGTCAGGGGCTTGCATATTATGTCGTAATTCTGTATAAACCTCCGGTAATATCCAGTGAGCCCTAGGAAACCACGTAACTGCTTGACAATGGAGGGTATAGGCCATTCCAGGATACTGTTGATCTTCTGAGGGTCCATCTTCACCTGTCCTGCAGTGATAACATGACCTAGGTAGTTTACAGAATGTAGTGCAAAAGAGCACTTACTTTTTTTAACAAACAACCTATGTTCTAACAAAGTAGAAAAAACCTAATCTGAATGAGCAACATGTCCATCCAAAGTACAGCTATACACCAGAATGTCATCGAAAGAAACAAGTACAAATTTTCTTAAAAAGAACTGAAACACTTGATTCATGAGTGCTTGAAAGGTTGATAGTGCGTTGGTAAGCCCAAAGGGCATCACCAAGAACTCGTAGTGGCCCTGCTGCATTTGGAATGCATTTTTGCCAGATCCTCTGGTCTCATTCTGATTTGATGGTATCCAGAACGAAGATCCAGCTTGGTGAACACTGTCGCTTCTCCCAACTCATTAAGCAATTCTTCAATAATAGGTGTAGAAAACCTGTCTTTTGTGCTCATGTTATTTAGCCTCCGAAAGTCAACAAAGAGCCTCCAACTGCCGTCTTTTTTCTTGGTGAGAACCACTGGTGAGGCGTAGGGACTGGTGCTGTGTTGTATTATCCCCCGGTCTACCATTTTTAATACTTGCTTTTCAATTTCAGACTTTGAAGCATGTGGTCACCGATATGGAGGAATCTTGAATGGTTGACTGCCAATCTTCAAAGGGATGTGGTGATCAACAACCCGGTGTGGAGGTGAGGAACTGGGAGTGTCAAAGACATGGTTAAACTTTTCCAGTAACTTCAAAACAGCTTCTAGTACGTCGACATCTTCAGGGAGGTTTGCAGCATCTGAAAGAGGTCGAGCCTGAAGCGTAAACATCCTCAACCTCTTGTCTTCATTCCCTGTTACAGAATTTTGATCCCGTACCAGATGCATACTAGCCCTACTACTATCCCCATGTAAAATGTATTGTCTACCAAACTTGCTCAACTTAATGCTCAATTCCAGATAATCAAACGTAATGGGACTGTAATGCGTCATCCAATCCACCCCTAATATTATGTCAGAGCCTCCACCCAATTTCATTACTTTCAGGTCATAGCTAAACTTTAAATTATTAATATCCCATCTCAGTATAGGGCAAACCAGACTACCTGAGATTTTGCTACCATTCTCCACATTAATTGCATACAATTTGGATTCAATATAGTGCAATTGGAGATTCATAACTGCTTTAAGATCAATAAAATTATCAGTACTCCCGGTGTCTATGAGAATTCTGTTTACCCTTCCCCCTATTTTTCCTTCCACTAGAATAGTTTGTTTAACAGGGTTTACAGATAATACATGCAGGGAGCCCTCTTCCAAAGTTAAATCTATAAGGTCTATACCATTATCAACTGGCAATTCATTCACATTAAGCTCGTCGTCTGAATCTTCTTTCTTATCAACTATCAACACATTAAAATTTTGAATTTACATCTATGTCCAGGCACAAATTTCTCAGCACATTTATAGCACAATCCATTATTAGTTCTATACTGATATTCTTCCAGACCCAGTCTTTTAACTCGCTCTGCCATGCTAGTCTTTTTCACGTAAGGTTTAGTGGAGTCATTTACCTTATATTGGAGATTTTTCCCCTTGCTAGAAGAACACTGTGAAGCTTTGACCTTACTGTTGGTGACTTCCAGATTCCTCTCTTGCAAAATGGCCGTGTCAAAGACCTGACTCAGAGATTGGTGGGGAATCATCCTTACCATAGGCTTGATCTCCTCCTTAAGTCTGCTGATAAAGCTAAAAATAAAGTATTTTTCTGACAGTTGAGGGTTCATACACATCATTCTGGCCCTCAACTCTTCGAACCTCTCTTGATACTCCCTTATTGTACCCTACTGATGGAGCTTGTTAAATTCTTCAACATCATCCTGACCCCCTTTCTCCTCAAACGTCTTGACCAACCCGTCTCTGAATTCTACCCAAGTCATCCTGGGTTTAAGCATCTTCATCGCCTGGAACCATGTCTCCGCCTTATCTTCCAGATACAGTTCAATACGATCCACTTTACGATGCTCAGCCACCTGGTGAAGTAAAAAGAACTTGTCACACTTATAACGCTACTCTCTTGGTCTGTTGCCCCCTTCAAAGATGGGTAAGTCAATCCGCGGTTGTGTAAACCACGGTGGCTGGAAACTCCTATTCTGTGTTGTAGCAGTAAAGTCAACCTCCGGCGGTGGTCTAAATGAACTCCCATGGATGAGGGTTGGCTGAAACCGCTCCGATGGTTACCTCTAGCCGCCAGTAGTGGTCCGATCTGGGTTTGGGTCAATGAAAGGAAGTAAAAGAAGATAAGAACAAAAAGGAAATTCTGATAATTTTTCTCTAATGATTCCAAATGACAGTGACACGAGATAATAGCCATTTCCTCCGAATTTTCCGAAGCAAAGATGCTAGCTTGGGCAGCTTCCAGAAGGAAATGCTTGAGTAAAAAGCCATATATCCTTTAATGTTTTACAGATCCCAATTACTACTAACAACAGTAACTAAGACATAATTTACGAAATATCCCCTACTTTCCACATATTAAATAAACTCCTCCAAATTACAACAAATTCTACTTTAGCCCCTTTTCAGAAAGCTGGTTCCTGACAGAACCTTGCGATTGATTCCAACCGATAATGTCAGAGAAACCAACTCCATACTTTACTCGAAGCAAATGCTTATTGCTCAAGGACATAAACTTCAATTCACCCTTTAATGATTTCAAAACTTAGGACGAGGAGGTTTCGGTTTCACATTCTGAACAGGAATGATGTTACAATTTTTCACACATTCTCCCCAAGTGTTCAATGCCTTGCACTGATGTGCACTCCTGACATACGTAAGATGTTAAGCTTACTACATAGCTTAAAGTGCAGAAATCACAAACTATATGTACAGGATAAACTACTATCACACTATCATTTAGGCTGGATAATCCTCATTCCCAAGAGTAATCTTATTTACCTCAAGAGGATAAGAAGAATCACTATACTAACCGATGAATGCACCGGTGATTCATCCGAGACTCTCTATAAAACACTAGCACAAATACTGCTTACAACAGACAATTACAGGGCAAATTTGTGGTATCTGTTTCTTATAATAATCCTTCAGATTTGCCCAAATGTTTGTCAATTTGCAAACACAAATTTCCTACATCACGGAACAACTTTTGCAGTTCAAGAAGGGATGTCGATGCTTGAGTTGTGATCAATGGCCCTCGCTCATCCAGCAGCTGATCAAGTTGAGAGCACATTGACAAAGTAGTTGCATCATCTTTACATAGATGAGCAGCTAATTTAAGCAATTTCCATCTCTGGTCCATCGGCATTGATAACTCTGGTGGGATTGGAGGAACTAGAAAAGGATGTTGCAGCAGTTGAGGGATCCTCCATCTTTCATTACGGTCCCACGCTAAACATTTCTTCATAAGATCCTTCAGCCATGGATTGGGAACTGGTTCATATATAATTTCATGGTTCGGATCTGTTATGACTTTAAACTTTGCCCAGAAAGTCTTGTATTCGGAAAATGGTGTTCTTCCATACACCATTTGATAGAGGATGCAACCAAGAGACCAGATATCTGATGGACGTCCACATTTTATTATGTTTCCATTTGCATCTTTCTCATTGCACATAAAGGCTTCTGGAGACATATAACTGAGTGTACCCACCTGCCAATGATCCTGATTTATTACAATATGATGAAGCTATCAAAGAAAGCAGGCACATAATATCAATTGTCGATTTTTGCAATTTATATGCCATAACTTCAAAAGGCCACTTTATCTCATGCTATACCAAGTGTTCAAGGGTTCAATTATGCACAGAGTTTGAAATTTGCAGAAAAGCAAACAATAAATAAAATAACCTGTGAATCCCGTTGAATATTTGTCGTATCACTCATTATGGCTTTTGCGATACCAAAGTCAATCAGCTTAAGTGATCCTCTAACAAGAAGAAAATTGGCTGGCTTCAAGTCTGAATGCACAATTCGCTCCTCATGTATGGTATTCACAGCCAGAAGAATTTGCTGCAGCATATGGTTAATGAATATGATGTAAAGTATGTGGAAACCATGTTAAATTCACATACAACAGTAAGCAAAAAACAACCATCAAGACTCTTTTTGGATAAATTGATTATCACTGAATTTCTGTACCACTCTAGAGGTCTCAATTACTTTATGGTTTCATAAATTCACATGACAAGAGATATCCCACTTGGTAGCTGTTATATGGTTTGAGGCTAATCCCGACTTCAACCTGCATTTTTTTAACGCATATGTATGGCTTCTACTCATTCAACGTCGCGTAAAATATGTCTTTTCCATTTTCCTTTTTCCCTCAAGTATTTATCAAATTTTATTGTTTTTCACTTTTCTGATGCATGTTAATTATTCCATGACTCTGCATAAACGCTTGGGTAACATAGAATCGCGTGAATGTGGAACACATTCACATGCACTGATAAACCTGTTTAAAAACATTTCAAACATGCACAGATAAGTGATCACAGCTGCTGAACTAATTGCCAGAATCCAGAATAGTGATCCTAGTTCATAGACAGCATCAGAATTAGTAAACAGCATTTCCAAAAGAGCAGTTCGCAAGTCAGAATTTGCATGCAGGAAAGTGTTCCCATATCAGTATGAGAGCAGTTCGCAAGTCAGAATTTGCATGCAGGAAAGTGTTCCCAAATCAGTATGACTAGTACCTGAGGAATATGCAATGAATAACACAATATTTTTATTGCAATCTAATTTTCCTTTAAAAAAAATCCCAGGACCGCATGAGACCAAAAGACATCACTGATCAATCTTACCTTAGTCAAGATTTTTTACAAAATAGTTACTAAGACATCTCACAACTAAATACTGCTTACAAAGTATAGATAAAATGACCAGATCGCCAGAGAAAATCATGAAATGAACAAATGCAAACTGAAATAACCACTGGAAAGACTGACAGTTTTTGCTAAGCTTAAGCTAACATAAAAGTAAAAATCATGTTTCTTGTGTAAATAGATAGGGCACGACAAGCAGAGTGATGCCAAACCTGCCAGTAAAACCGCAGCCAGTTCTCATCTAGAGTTGCGTTAGAGCTATCCAGCTCCTTCCACTTTTGAGAAAGCATGTGAGCTAAATCAATTTCACCATATTCAAGCACCATATAAATATAACCATCTTCCTTTACTCTGCCATCTTTATTACTCATGGAACCCTTGATGACTTCTTGAAGCAATGCCCTGTCTGTCACCTGACAAAGAAACAGAGATTTCAGCTTTACGGAGGACGGTTTCACAAATAATTGCAATCATTTCAGACAAAATTCTCAATTCGATACCAGAATGCAGGTTGCCTGTATACCCAATTTGAAGGTTTTAAGCGAGCAAGAACCAACAAGTATAGTACAGAAAAAAGTGACCCTATTCAAGAGCATCGGCAATGATTCTAGCAGATAAGAAATCTGAAACAATGATACAGGAGGGGATGTGGCAACTAATCCCATCCAAACCCCAACCACACTCCATTCACAGTTAAAAATACATTGGTACACTTGCAGTACCCCTTTTTCACACATTTTTTCCCAACATATGATATTTGAAACTTGAAACCAACACAAAAGAAGAAAACCCAGCTAGCTGTTTTTCAGGATAACTTTTAGCATGACAGCATAATGAAAGTTTGAACTTCACGCTTTACTTTGTTTAAACCTACAAAAACTTCAAATTTCATGGGCTCTAACAAGTCAATGGCTGGACGAAATCCAATTCTGCCACATACTTCCAGTTATCCTTAAAGTCCATTCCAGAAGCACAATTTTTGCAGCGAATTAGATATTTCTAAACCGCATGTCCCAATAAAACACCCAAACCAATCATCTTAGTGCTTATACAGAGTTATACCCCACTTTACATCTACCAACAACCTACAGGAGGTTATTCAATAGTTCTAAAGACCAAGAATTTGGCACATTTCAATGTGATTAAATGTGGCCGAAAGCACTCCTTAATATTCAAAGGCTTTATCAACAGAAACAACGCTCGTAAACCAAATGAGTCAAATAATAAATGATAGAAGGGCATACAGATCGCACCAAATCAATGAAATCCACATACCTCGAAGTCAATGAGTTGAATGATGTTGCGCTTTCCCTTCAGTTTATTCAGATACTCGATTTCCTGACAAAACCCATATGCTGTAGCATAGTCCCGACCTTTTAGCTTGATTTTTTTCAGAGCATAAATAGTACAATCTGATGAAATAACTTTGTGAACTTCACTGCTACCTCCACTCCCTATCTTCCCAAGCCTTTGGTACAGCTTGCCATTAACTTTGAAAAACAAGTCAGAATCATACGTCTTCTTACGAGACACGGATGCTGCTTTACCACCTACAGTTTTTCCTTGTTTCCCTGATTTGTTAGATTCCATTTTCACATCCACGGCCTTAACATCTGACAAGGCAGGACCAGACTCAGTAGCTTTCTGAACTTCTGTAGCAGCATTGTCATTAATAGACATAGGTGGATTACAAGTAGTACTGCTGTCCTTTGGAATAAGAATCTCTTTCTCGCTGGACAGGAATGTGTTCTTAACTCCTAGACAAGTTTCGAGACTAGAGATGCCAACTTTCCCTGCAATGGGTGCCTGGTGACTCAAGGCATCAGTATTGCATTTTGATAAAGGATCACTAGGCAGTATGGCTGGTTCTACCAGGGGTTGATAATTCATTTCTAAATCACCAGTTGCCCCCAAATTTATCCTAGAGTTACTTGCTTGATGAGGTTCTGAACCATAGGTTGTTGAATTAAGCACAGGAGCAGATCCAGGGTTAATTAATGTTGTAGTCGCACAAGACAATCCAACAACTGTAGATTGGGTTATGGGTTGACTAATATCATTCTGTATGAAGCCCGAGAATTTGTGGAGCTGATCTGAAACTCCCAAGTCTGCCAACAAAGATGTACCACCCTTAGACTGCAATAATTCATCTACATCTTCAGTTAGTTTATTTCGATGTGGCAAATCATGTCCACCAGCAGCAGAAACTTCTGTTTGATTGCCTCCCTCCCATTCCATTTCTGTGAACGCAAGTGAATCCAAATGAGATATTAAATCGTCTAATCCAGTGGCCTTTGATTCATCGGCCCCTGCATAGAAAATTTGCACGGGTGCAATAATTGGGTACTTTCAATCTAGCACTATTTGTATAACTATGCAGTAACCAAACACTAATAGATCCTTAGAAAATTAGCATAACTACAGCCAAAAAGTCAATCGCAAGGCTGCATGTATTCTACATAGAAGAAAAAAAAAACAGAGAAATAAATATTACCCTGGTACTTGGCATCACCAGTAGCAAAATGGACCTTCTTCGGCCCCTCGTGAGCAGCAGCATATTCAGATCCAATAATGCATGAGGCAACAGTGTCATTACCTCTACACTCAGCCAAGGATCTAGGTTGGTCACAATGGGCCCCAAAATGTTTAGGGCTTCTTTCCAATGTGTTTATAGTACTACCCCATTCCATAGATGGAGTCATCAATGCATGCTCTGCTGTTTCTCCAGCAACTGAAACGATCTCTTTCGGCTCTGATATGCATTCCCTTAATCTTTGGCTTAGGCTTTCTTCTACGTTCCTCATTGTTTTGAATGTGGTAGAATCTGTGGCAAATGTTGAACCCTTTGGGGTTTCTTGCTGAGGATTATTCATCCTTCTCGGTTTTATATGGTTTGGCAACATCACACCTATGAATAAAACAAATTACACAACACAGCTCAGATCAATTCCTGAAATAAGCCATAAACTGTAGAATGAGAAGGTTAAAAAATAATTCGAAGTTCCTAGTGATTAGATAGCTGATAAAATGTAATTGAAGCAATGTGACCTGAAACAAGATTTTTAGACTCTTACATATAGGTCAACTGATATGAGAATCAAGAGCTAATACATTAATTAAGCTAAAACAGTAAAAAGTGATATATAGTTTTCATATGGCCAAGAAGTTTGAGAAATGAGCAAAAGGTGATCAAGCAAAGCTCCAGTAGAATACTTGGAGTGCACAAACTAAAGCAATAAACTGAGAGCTCAACAGATGTACACCAGATGCCATACAACCTGTAACGGAGAGGAACAACCGTCAATTCTAATTTAATTTTAATCTAGTAAAAAAAATGTAGTTTATGAAGCACACTGGAATTTTTATTTTGTCAAAACGTTGACAGAGAGACAAGGTATCTAGTTGAATTGACAGAGAGACAAGGTATCTAGTTGAATTGAAAAGAGTCATTTTAGACTTCAATCAGGAAATGGTTTAAATCACAGTAGCAACACAACCCTTTTACGATATAAATCTTAATGCATAGTAATTTCAATGCCAATATTTTGCTTTCTTTCCAGTGAAGTTAATAGATGAATTCCAACTAATTTTTCACATAAGCGAAACTCCACTTCTGATTCTTAATAACAACAACTGCATTTTTAACTGAAAGAAAATGCGGTACTTAAGTTTGAATCTCTGATGCTCCTCTCATACAACAGACATTATCTAACCCCTCTAACAAATAATGAAAAAAACTATCACCTAGGCAGATGACTGCTGAACATGGGTGAGTAACAACCAGAATCAAGGAAACGTGCTAAAGCTTCCAATGTATGTGAGGCTTTGCAAATGTCAGCATGATATATGTTGCGCAACTGTTACCCTAAGTAGATGCCGCGAGAAAGAATTGCAGGCAGAGATCTTTACAAGCCAAATTTTAATTTTTCACCAAAAGACTAAACATTCCCATAGAGGCCACAACAGAAATCCGGCCGAAGAGGGGCAAAAGAAATTAAAAGGTAAAAAGAAAAATAGACAAGACAGTAAATTCAATGCAAACTAAAAAGGGTCCAACAGCAACTTCAAAGTTGATGTCAATGCTAGTCATGTTTTTCTATCTGCAGAACGTTTATTTGTACGATTAACTTGAACCTCCGTAACAATTTACAGATGAGTGCTAATGTCGAGTGAGCTTTCACATTGAGATGTCACAAGATGACTCCGCAAAAAAAAAAAACAACAAGGCAATTGAAGTGAATAAAAATCAAATTTTAAGCTAGACCCATGCGGAAACACACAAAATGTAGGTAAAGTGAAAACAAACAAGAAAACTCAGGCATCATTGAGCGGTAACAACTGGAAAGACATAACAAATGAGAAAGCACATAGACTAAAAAGGGCAACAGCTGAAAATAAATCCAAACGATGAAGTCAAGAGAACAACAAATTCAAGATAATCGAATGGACAGTGAAACGCGTTTCAGCTTATTGCCCTAAATGAATCCACAAGGAAGAAACCTAAATGGAAAGCTTACCTAGAGCTTTGTGACGCTTGAAGGCAGCTTGGACATTGCGCAAGAATGCTTGAGGGGATGAGGAAGACGACGAGGACGACGTCGTCGTTGAGTTGGTGGTGGAATCAGGGTAAATCGGACGGTTAAAGTTGGAACCGGTGAACAATGGAGGTGGGGCCGGCGGAAGGTTAGGCTCCTCCCCTTCCATGGATATTTCCCTCGTGCATTTCTAGTCTAAACCACCACTCTGCCGATGAAACATTAAAAACCCTATCCGGTGGAGGAGGTCTTCACCGGCGACCGGCCGGAGGCTTTTGGGGGGGTGTCGGAGAGTTCAAAAATGCCCAATTGGCGCTCTTCAAAATCCTTGCTGTATTTTGAATTTTGCTTTTGGGAAGGAAAAGGATGCACGTGTTCAGATTTGTACTGTAAGTTTTTCTTTTTAATAAAATTACTATGAAATTATTATTGTCTTCTGCTGTATATTGTAGTGTAGAAGATATTTTAAATGTTACTCCCTCCGTCCCATGATTATTGTCCAGTTTTACTAAAATGAAAGATTTTATTTTTTGTCAAACAACCGGATATATCCCTACATAAGTAATTGTTTAACCACTAAGATTTTATGGATAATGTTTTTTACTAAAGACAAATGTGTAACTTGATCCATAAAAAGTCAAATTGGACAATAATTTTGGGACAAAATTTTTTGGCAAAGTGGAAAATAATTATGGGACGGGGGGAGTACAAGTTACGACTCATATTATCAATTAATTAACCATCATTCTTGTCTAACTAATAATCCCTCCAAAAATAGTTCAATTTATTGTATAATTTTAGTTCAACAAAATTGATTAGTAGTGTGTTACCCATAATCATTAGGTCCAATGTCTTCCCTTATCTAATAACTATTCTCACCCATCCTTATCTTACAAAATTGGTAGTGGAATAGGAAATGCACGTGTTCAGATTTGTTTTTTTTAGAAATAAAATAAATTCATTAATTTACTAGAAATCGTCTAGCAGTGATTAATAAAAGCAAGATACAGTCATAAAAACACAACTTACAAACAGTCACAATGTCATTGTTGTGTTTCGCTACATGGACAAACAGTCACAATGTCATTGTTGTGTTTCGCTACATGGATAAATCTATCCTGATCTACCTCATAAATAATAGTTATACCACGTGCCAGATTTTTTATCCGGTCAAGGATACAACACTAACCTTCAGTTGAAACCCCAAAATCGTAAACCTAATAATAATTAGATCTACTATAACTGAATCTTCTTGGACCATGTCTGCCAAAGCGACAAACACCTTCAATGAAGTCGTTGCCGCCGTATTTGCATACATCACCGACGAAACCGCTGTCATACTAGCAAACACTAACAAGGATGCCGCCGCCATACCTGCAAACATAAATAAAGATGTTGCCGTCATACTGTAGATAATAATCTACAAGCCGTTTATTGAAACTAAATTAAAACACAATAAAAAGGTTGAAAGATATTTGTAGAATTATTTCCCCCATCCTTCCATGACGGAAAGATGGGGAAGATTTATTTATTTATTTTTTTTAGGGTTTGAGGGAGAGGGAGAGAGAGCGGGAGGCGGCAGAGGGGGAAGATTTAGTAAATCGTGTTCAGATTTGTTTTGTTATTTTTTTTTTTTTTTGTGAGTCCAATAGCAGGATTGGCAGTGGAATAGGAAATGCATACCATAATTTATTCACCGGTAAATTGCAATTTAAGGATTTAGATTTGATCATTCACTTGATGGTTTATATCATAGTTCGAGGAAAATCAATTTTTTTTAAAGGGTACCTTTTATATGTATTACAATTTGAGACATCTAGACTATTACACAAGATCTACAACTACCCTGCTACACTACAACTACTACAACTCCTGTGAAAGCCTTCTGTTGGTGCTCAAAGATGTACAGATCTCCTATTTGCTGCAACTCGCAAGCTTTGTTCTATTCATCATCATAGCTGCTTCGGAAGTCTGCTGCGCCAGCAAATCAAACTGGACTTCAACTGCATTTTCTTCCGGGAATTGGCACCTCTATGGAGTGAGGAGGTGACTAGGCCTTGTCACAATGCTCCCTGCAATAAAGACACTTTAAAGTGTTCATGGTGTGACTCGAACCTTTGACTTTCAGGTTGAGTGGGTTTGTCCTTATCCACTAAGGCAACCCATGATTCACGAGAAAAATTAATTATTAGATCATTGTTTCAAGATTTGCACAAGAATTATAGAGATGTATTCGAAACTAAAATTTTAATTTGGTACGACATGTCTACTTAGTGTTTTATTGGGTAAATCACAGTGAGAACAAATATTTGATTTTTAAATCATATGTAAATTTGTACTCATACATTGTGTCTTACTCCTATGGTGAAATGATAGTTCTATTTTTCAAAAGGAAAAAAAAAAACAATTGGTTTAAGTGGTAAAGGTATTAGACCAGTTCAACTATGGTCGAAGATCAAACTCGGCATTCGGACATCAAACGCGTAATATGCCAAAAAAAAAAAAACACTATTTCAATATTTCTTTTGGGACAAAGAAACTACTAAACGCCATGACTAAATAGTCGGTGCATTTATTTACTTGTCTAGATAATTTCATAAAGAGAAATATAGTTTGATTCATCTTTAGAAAATATAAAATTAGTGGAGATGGTTGTAAGTAGAATGTATACGCTTCTTATTATTTGTTTCATTTTACTACATGATATAATTATTTTTGTTTAATTTTTTTTTTCATAAGTTTGATATTCAACCTCAAAATTCAAATTCCTGCCCTAATTATACCTATCCAAAAGCATCCTCGACGACTGTAATCGGTTTCGTTTTCAAGCATGTACAAAGATTTATGATATTACTTACTCCCTCCGTCCCATAATTATTGTCCAGTTTTACTAAAATGAAATATTTTATTTTTGGTCAAACTTAACTATATTTTACCTTAAACAACCGGATATACCCCTACATAAGTAATTGTTTAACCATTAAAATTTTATGGATAATGTTTTTTACTAAAGACAAATGTGTAACTTGATTCATAAAAAGTCAAATTGGACAATAATTTTGGGACAAAATTTTTTGGGTAAAATGGATAATAATTATGGGACGGAGGGAGTATGTCTTAAAAAATGCTTATACAAAAACAAACTTCAAACTCAATATGGAGAGATGGATTATTACGGGATGCAACGCTTTCTTCATTCCTTTTGGCAATATTGATTCATATTCTTGCCCTACATTCAAGAACAAGCGAAGTATTAAAATGTGCTTCTTCTTTTTTAACCCTTTAAACCGGTGGGAAGAGAATAGAATTTTTATTTTTTTTTTGAATTAATAGCACATGAAACTCAGGAGATAACCTATTAATGAGATTTAATCTAAGCCCAATTTGATGAACTTATTCAATATTTAAATAAAATTGATTAAGTGTTTAATTGATTGACATGATCTCAAAAACTTAACAAATTAAATACTTAATTTTTAAGTACGTTTGATAATTAAAAATAAAATATCTTGATAAATTAAGTGTATCTGAAATGCAAGTAAAAATGTGAGCCGAAAAATAAGTGGTAGTCCCATGACTCATTACTGAACTGAATTATTGAGACATTTTTTTCTTTCTCTTCCTAATTATTTATTTTTATGTGTATATTTTTTTAATTTGTATTTTTATTAATTTGTATTTTTATTAATCTTGGTTTGTATTTTCAAATTTAGATGATATAATTTTTTAATTATTTAATATGTTAGTGTACATTTTTATTATAAGAAATTATAAAACAAATAAAGTCCATAATAACTATATATACCATAAGGCTATTATATTTTTTTAAATAATTACATACTCAAAAGAAATTCATAATAATATTATTATTTTTATTATCATGGTTTCATACGCATCATTTTTAGACAAATATCTTTATGACTTCAGGTTTCATTGTTCAGGCTTCATATTCCAATCTTTTTTTTTTCCAGTCACACAAGCGTAATTAGTTTAATACTTATGGTTCAGTTTTCAAATTTCAGACTTCATATCCCAATTAAGTTTTTTCGAATTGGGCATAAGATTAAACTTAAGTATTAAGTTCATTTAGAAACACTCAAAAGTCGTATTAATCGAGGAATGTTTTGTTATATTTTGGAATTATGAGAGAATTTTAGTAACTAAATTCACTGTTTTATTACCAGAAAAAAATTGGGAATTGTTAAATTTTAGCAGAATTTTTGTCAATTGGAAAAAAAATGTTACATTTCAAATAGTCTAGACAAATTTGGCTACTGAAAATATTTTTGGTTATATAGACATAGAACTTGAAGTTTTTGATAGAATCAACTATTTTTTTTTTAATATTTGTTCATTCATTAGATAAGTGTGTAGTATATAGTGTACCTAACAAGTGTTGATGAAACCGTAACAAAAAATTGAGGTACAACCTAAAAAATTAGGTTCAAATAAAAAAGTAGACATCATTTTTATATAGAGAAGATTGCAAAAACACTTGCACTAAAAAGGACTCAAAATGGTGTTTATTATTCAAAGAATATGATGATGGTGGTGGATATCAATTGACTAAGAGATTCAAAAAGTCCAAAACAAATCAAATTCAAAGTTCAAACCTAACTTACAAAAAACCATGTGTTGTTTCAAAGTGACCAAACTAGAACTATTATGATAATCCCAACAAAACCTTAAATTAATGACAAAGTCCGAAAGTGTGATGAGAGAGATGTAATAGATCTCATCACCATAAATAAATACGTTTAGAACTCTCTAATTATACATAGTATTTATTGATTAATAATATAATTAAATTAAAGAAAACCCCACAAATTTACGCAAAGGAGAACACACTGAAGTTGCAGCTGAGGAAAACAAGCCCCAAAATACTGGAAAAACCACCCCTTTTCAGAAAGAAAAAACCTTGAAAAATACAAACAACAAAAACGATGGAGAAAACGAAGTCCTGATGGGTGTGGACCTCTCTCCATCAATTCTCTAGCTTTGCTTCAATATAAATCAGTAGCTATTGGGTGCTGATTTATTCAGGGCGCCGAGGAAGGACGACCCTTCTGGGGATTTTATATTGGGTTGAAGTTTTTTGGGGGAAAAAACAAATAAAAAGAGCAACTTTTTTTGGAGGGGAGAAGATGGAGGGAAGTGGGATGTGTGATTGGAGTGTAATACGATCTATACTAGCCATTTTTCAATGGTGGGGTTTCAATGTGACTGTTATTATCATGAACAAGTGGATCTTTCAGGTAAAAATCTCCTCCTGCACATGCTCTTTGATGCCTTCTGTGTATGGGGATTATTGCTTTGAATTGTGATTTGGGGTTTATCAATTGTTTTAATGGCGAATTCATGGATTTGTGGCTACTGAAAGTTTAATGCTTTTTTTATTTTTTTTTATAAAAAGGGGGATGGAATCGATTTTGTAGTTAGTTTGATGGTCGGGACAGTGGGAGCTGATTGTGCGCCCGAACTGCCCTATTGATTGTCTCCGTTTTTCCTCATTCTCTTGTTCTGGATTTTCATTGATGATGAGTATTCTGTATGTTTTCGAAGTTTTTGAGGGTAGCTTAAGCAAAACTGGGATTCTTTTCGAGTATGTCATGGTTCTTCACTGCTGTGGAGACAAAAAAAAGTTGATTTGTTGTGTTAAGTTGATGCTCTAATTGTCTTAATAGGACTTTCAATGCTGTAGATCTGTGACAGGACTAAGTGAATCATTGTAATTTTCATTACAGGCTATGTGGATATTAATTGATAGTTCTATTGTTCCTCTAAAATCTTAAATGGATTGAAGGGGGGAGGGTTAGGGAGGTGGTAAAAGAAAGAGATTGTGATCGATCATGCTATTCGATTGAGAAAGGTATTATAAGCAGATTAATCAATTCTATGTTTGCTCATATTGTAGCAATTCTAACCGTGTAAATCCGTATTCCAGTTCATAGATTTAGTTGAGACCGTTGTCAGTGTGATGATTGAGATCAAATGAACAAAAGACTATTATGATTTCTCTTCCTCTTTATTGTTCATTGGATCAGCTGGATATATGCATACCTGTGATGCCTGAAATCTTGCGTTTTTTTTTGCAGAAACTTGATTTTAAGTTCCCTTTGACGGTATCATGTGTACACTTCATATGTTCAGCTATTGGTGCATACACTGTCATCAAGGTGCTCAAACTCAAGCCGCTTATTGTGGTCGAACCTGAAGATAGGTGGAAAAGAATTTTTCCCATGTCATTCGTATTCTGCATCAACATTGTCTTGGGGAACGTCAGTCTGCGTTACATTCCTGTTTCTTTCATGCAAACCATAAAATCTTTTACTCCTGCGACAACAGGTGAGAAGATTCTGCACTTAACTGCACATTGAAAAGTTTGGATCACAAGTTTCGATGGTGGAAGCCAATTTTTATGTTCAGCTTCCAGTATGCTTATTGAACACTCAGTACTCATTGCTCATAATCTATTTTGTTGTCTTGATCATGTTTCAAGAATGAGATTTAGGGATGTGTTGTTTTCATTTATGTTCGTATTATGTCTTGAAGTGATTTTCTCCTGCAAATATTTAACATATATTTGCAAAGATGTATAGTTTGAACTATGAATGAAATATAGTTAAAACTACAAATTGCATTCAACCTTAGTCATAACTGCAAAGATGTATATACAACTCAAACAAAGCCATAGTTTGCTACTATATCTGCTCCAAAATTTTCTTGCAACATTTACTATCTAAAAATGCATTGATGATGTATGTTATTCCACCTACTGGAAACAGTTATTTTGCAGTGGCTCATTTGGAGGAAATTCTTTGATTGGAGAATATGGGCATCATTGGTCCCCATTGTTGGAGGAATTCTTCTTACTTCTGTCACAGAGCTTAGTTTCAATGTCTTTGGATTCTTGGCTGCCTTGTTTGGTTGTCTTGCCACTTCTACAAAAACTATCCTTGCAGAATCTTTGTTGCATGGTTACAAATTTGACAGGTATGCCGCATCCTCCTCAATCCTATGGTGACTGAGCAAAATAGAAAAGGAGGGAAGGAGCAAGACCTATGAGTGTCTCCCTCTTTTGGTTTTTCATTGTGATTTGAATTGCTACCGCTGCGTAAAGTGTTTAGCTCATATTCTAGGAAGAAGGTTTATGTGAAGAACAGCTCTCTTCTGTGATTTTGATTGTTTTGTCCTAGATCAGAAGTGATTGTTAATTTATTAGCCAGTAAAAAATCCACAAACAAAAGGAAAGAAATGGCATTGAAAACCTCACACTGACTATCGAAGCTAGCTTAGATATCTGTTTTTGGAGCCTTTTCAGTGTGATGATTCAATTCATACTGATTATATAAAGATACATTTTGCAATGTTTATTCTTCACTTTCTTTTTTTTTTTTTTGCATATTGTTTGAATAATTAGTTTCCTGATACAAAATTATCTGAACCAAGAGAGGTGGGATCTCCCCTTCATAAAAATGATAAATTTTGGATTATTCAAATTTTCTTTCTCTTGATGGAAGACATTATTAGCGAGTAACGTTTGTTTTATTTCCTTTAATACCCAGCATAAACACAGTGTACTACATGGCACCTTTTGCAACAATGATCCTGGCTGTACCAGCTTTACTACTTGAAGGATCAGGAGTTGTGGAGTGGTTCAGCTTGCATCCCAACTTCCTCTCTCCAATGCTGATTATTTTTGGCTCTGGAGTCACGGCTTTCTGTCTCAACTTCTCTATCTTTTACGTTATTCACTCAACAACTGCTGTCACCTTTAATGTGGCCGGAAACTTAAAGGTAAGATCCAATCTTCAGTTTCATTTTTAGTTGCTGTCCTTTAGTTTGATTGTTTAGTTTGCTGTTCACCTCTGAAATCACGGAGACTGTAGGAAAAATTTTCCCTTCTTCTAGTTAATATATCTGAAAATCTTGCTGACCAACTTCTATGCATTTCAAAGTAAAAAGGAAGTCCAATAACTGAGGCAAGACTTAATATATTCTAAAACTACCATGGACATTCTAATCAAACTTGGTCTTTGATTGCCTTCCTAGATAATGTTTGCATCTGCGTCCGGAGATGCTTTGTAGACCTGGTTATTATTTTACACGACTGCTTTTGAAATAATATGAAACATTACTTCAGTAAACCACAGAAAAAATGCCTTTTAAGATTTGACTATTACGAACTCCTCTAAGAAGTATAGAGAATTAAAAAACATGTGACACATAGAGTTTAGTCATTATTTTATGAACGTAAGCTATTTCTGAAAGAAGAAAATTTGATGGTACAGGTAGTATAATGTGGTAAATACTTGGTTCTAGCTGGGTTAAAATCTTACATATATGTGACCTTTACGCTGCGGCTTTACTTAAACGAAATTTGGTTTGATTCTTTTCGGGGGGTTTTGTGGCAGGTTGCGGTCGCCATTACATGCTCGTGGCTTATATTTAGGAATCCAATTTCAGTGATGAACGCGGTTGGATGTGCTGTGACACTGGTGGGATGTACTTTCTATGGGTATGTGAGGCATAAGCTGTCGCAACAGATGAACCCTGGAACGCCTCGGACTCCTCGAACTCCTCGGACCCCAAGGAACAAGATAGAGTTGATTCCCCTTGTCAATGATAAATTAGATGACAAAGTTTGAGAAACCCTGTGTTTAAATTATCTTTGATATGTATGATTAGAAGTAGTAGCAGTAGAAGTAGTAACCTTTTGGGATAGTTGGGAAATACAGCATAGTTGTTTATTTACAGGAAATGATTACTGAAAACCATACAGAGACGGCTGGACTCTGTGTCAAGATTATTCAGTTATCAATTTTTAACCAAACAAAAATTGACGGCTTCTCTTTTACCGCACTAAGAACTGATGAAAATATCATCAAGAATTAGGGTGTTTTTTGAGATTTAAGTTGGGATCTTTTTCATTGTCTTGAAACAAAAAATTAGAGCCCCCATCGAGTTTTACTTAAAATGTATTTCTCTCAGGATCGAACTGGAAAAAATTATTTCCGATTGGAAGATTAAGTAAAGATTTTCTTTTGTTTTTTAAGGGTAGAAATTAAGATAAATCCGAATCCCACCCGCATTTGTTTTATGATGACAAAAAATTAGGAATTTTCTGAAGTCGGTAGTTGGAAAACCAATATTATTATTATTATAAACTAGTGTTTGCGGGTTGTTCAAGATATAAATGAGTTTAATGATCTATTGATTATATGACATTTCTAACGGACTTATACATATTAAAAAATAATATTAATGATAAAAATTGAAATTGTATAATTTTTAACATCAATATATTTTGTTGTTTTAACTACATTTGGAATAATTTTAATAATCGCAATCATCTAATACCTTATTATCCATCTTTTATGTTTAGTCGATTTATGGCTTTATATCTTTAAAAAATATACTCTTATATAAAATTTTCTACGCGAGTCACATCTTTTAAATTTTTCCTCTAATAGAAAAGTTTTCCATTACATATTTCAATAAATTTATCTATTTTCTATCTCTCTATATACCTTTTGCAATCTTACATTAAAAGTTTATTTGTATATTTTTCCTATAATATATTTTTTAGTTTTTTTTTTTGGTTATATGGTCTTCGTTTTTTCTTTCTAAATATAATTACCTCTCTTTAAAGCTTAATTTGTTGATAATTTTATAATAACTATTTCATTTTTCACTATTATCTCGATTTTTTTCACATTTTCCTTACTCTTTACATAAATTTTCCCCCCATATAATTGTTTCAATTTCTTAATATGTTTTTTTAATAAGAAGTCAAACATTTATAACCAAAAAAAAATATAAAAATGAAGCTAGTGTTTACCCCGTTCGTTGTGCGGGTTTTCCAAATTTATATGAGTTGAATAATTTAACAATTATATAACATTTCTAATGGAGTGATATTCATAAAAAAAATATTATTAGTGATATAAATTGCAATTGTGTTATTTTTAACGTCAATGTATTTTTTTATTTTAAATACATTTGGAATAAATTTTACTATTGGAAATAATCTCATGTAACTTAATGTCCATCGTTTTGTTTCGTTAATATATGGCTTTATATCTTTTAAAAAGTATTCTCTTATTTTTTGTAATGATCTCTCTAAATATCTCTATCTGTGTGATATGTTTTAAACTCTCCCTCTAGTAGAAAGTTTGTCATTATTTTTTTTTCATGAACTTATCTTTATTTTTCATCTTTCTATATATCTATTGCAACCTTTCTTTGGAGGTTTGTTCCTATATTTTTCATATAATATAGTGTTTTTTTTTTTCTTGGTTATAAAGTCTTCACTTTTATCTTATTAATTTGACGATCTCTCTTTAAAACTTCATTTCTTGACAAATTTGTAATAACTTTTTCATTTTCCACTGTTATCTCTAGTTTCTTTTTTCATTTTTCTTATCCTCTACATAATTTTTTTTCCATATAATTGTTTTGAAATTCTCAATATACTTTTTTTTTTACAGTTTGTCTCTCACATAAACCTTTATTATTTTTTTCTCATTTTGGAAAACATTCTCCTTATTAATTCTACATTTTTTTTATCATCATAACATTAACTTTTTCTACCATTATATTATATGAAAAATAAAAAAATATAATTAATCATCTAAAGATATATATATATATATATATATTGTCTTGTTACAAATTACCAATCTTCATTAAGCTTAGAAGATTCATCGATGAAAATCACATATCACACTTAAATTCTAAGATGCATATGCAAAAAAATAAAGGAAAAAAAAAACTATTTGACACCCGTATTAATTCTCTTTATTAGGATAAAACAATTTTGATTCTGGACAACCAAAAATATACATCTTATTTTTTTTTTATCTAGACGTATTAATGTTATAGGGCATAAATTAATTGCATTTTTTTAAAAAATTTATTGTATTGGATACTAATATTTAATTATATTAAATCTAGGAATAACACAAATAATCTAGCAACCAATCTTGGGGTCAGTCATATTTAAATTAGTGCACCAAGCTGATGAACTAAACAATCCAATCATATCAAACTAATAAGCTGAGCTAAACTAATAAGTTTATTTATCTTAATTAGTAAACTTATTTACTTTTTTAGATTCGGCTGAGTTATCAAAATCTAATAAATTTACAGCCAATGAGTTTACTAAACTTATTATTGCTTAGGTTTTGATTGATGACTAATAAAGCACCCGACTAAATTGCTTATAAATTTAACTAAGTTGTGCTAAGTTTTTCTTTAGGTTTTATGAAGTTAACTAAATTGTTTTGTTTTATCAATTGTGTTTCTCTTCATCAGGGTGTGTTGGTTGGGGGGAGGGGGGGGGGGGGGGGGGGAACCGACAGAATACTACTAAAAAATTAGGAAGTTAACTTTACTTTTTTAACTTTTGTAATTATTAGTTAATTTAGCTTTATTTACAATTTTTTACATTAAAAATTTACCATTAAATGATGAAGTGATGTGTTTGTGACATGTGGATTTGAGCATCTAATTTTGCCCCACGTGGATTAGCCTATCTAATATCGCGCCATGTGTCCGATTGAAAATTCTCCTTTAATATATTAAAGATATTACTATTCTTTCTGTCCCGAAATTATTGTCGAATTTGGAGTTTCGTTTTTTTAGTACAAATTGAATTGAAAGTAAAAATCTACTCTCTCCATTTTGAAATATATGTCGTTTTAGGATTTGATAAATTTTTTTTAAATATATGTCGTTTTCACAAATCGAGTTACATTTGACTATTTTTTACCAATATTACCCCTTGCATTGGAAATGAAATCATATTTATAATGAATTTCTAAATTGGATAATGATTTTGTAATTTTGGAAAAGAGAGTATTATAGTATTTGGGTAAAAAAATTATCTCCCTTTGCGCCCCCGACTGATTCCTCGCTAGTTTGTCCTGCCTCCTCCCTGGCGAACAAAGCGGCCACCGGAAGTAAGTAGCAATTCTCGATTTTTAACAACTTCCTGAAAATTTTCAACCCGAGGATGTAAATCACCGTTACCAATGTCTTTGATCCTCTTGAATGGTATTATTTACTGCAAACTAGAACTGGCAACTTAGTGTGGGGTAAATTGCAATGCATTTACTTTTTTTGGTTCTTTTTCTCCCGTATAGTGTGCAACGGAACAGCAGCAAGTTGACTGCATTAGTCAGCTCCCAAATGAAATTCTAGTCTTTATCCTTTCCTTTTTGACGCTTGAAGATGCTGCCACCACAACTGTTTTGTTGGACACATCTTTGGTTGAATGTTGATAGACTCGACTTTGACTCGAAGAAAATGTGGAAAGGGATTGTAGTTGAGGATGTTCCAGGTTATTCAAGTCTCGGTTCTGCCAATTCCCAGATGTATGTTGAATGGGTTAACCAGGTGGTGCGATCACACAAGGCCATCATTTTGGAGGGATGTATTCACAATTCGCTTCCAACTGACCAACTCTTTTAAGAACGAAATCCATAAATGGCTTCAATATGCATATGCAAAGAAAGTGCATGCGTATGATGAAGCGGGTGCTTACGTTAACTATGATTTTCCTCATGATTTGCCTGCCCCGAGTAATCGGAATTCATCTTCTCCGCTATCTATTCCTGATTTCCTTGGGCGCGCCATCAACTCTGATGCAACATCTTTTTGGGTTTAACACATTTCCTATTGTGTTCCTCCCCCTCTCTCTCCAGCGGCTACGTCATGATGGTGGCAAGAAAAGCTATATGAAAGAAACAGCGTATCCCCTTAAACATGTTCGAGTTGTAGAGTTATGGGGATATACTGGAAGTGCAACAGAACTTGAAGTTGTTGAATATTTCGTTAAAAATGGGGTCGTCCTGGAGAAAATAGTAATTGATCCTCGTGATCTGTCATCTAAAGGTTTTCCTGTTGCTAATATGGAGAAAGATGCAATCTACAGACGACGTGTCAACACTGCCAAAAAAAAAAAAGCTTAGGAGAATGCTGCCCCAACATGTCGAATTGGTGCTTCTGGGAGGAGAATAGTTTATGTTTTCTAAACCGGAAGAGATTGTTGCTTTCTATGAGGAGGTAACTTAAATTTTTTGACTTTTTGAATGTTCACTAGTTCACTTGTGTCCGATTTGACTGTTCTTTGCATTCTTAGCTATTCCAGTATTCCCTGCTTTAGATAAACATCAATGTTTAATTAATCCTCTCAATGCTTAGATTTTGTCCTTGAGTCGCTTCATAGGATACATGTTGTAGGCTTTGTTTAATTTCTCGCACTGATTAAGGATATACTTGGCTTGAAGTTTGATTTCTTAAACCATACCGGTTTTGTTGGTTCTCATAATATTCCTTTGCTTGCGTTAGGGAAAAATTGATTTGGTAGACTTAGTGGTGCAACTAGTGATCCTTTCTGTTGTATGAAAATGAGCTTTTGTTGCTATCCCGATGTATTGAGGCTTTATGGTTTGAAAACTTTCATGTTTTTTTTTTTTTTTGGTGCTTTCATTTCTATCCTAATCAAGTTCATAATACAGTTGAATGATCATATGCTTATAATTAGGGCTGTTATAATTAAGGAAATGTAGTTAGCTCATTGTATGAAATGTACTTTGAGGCCGTAAGTTACTAGCTCTAGTTCCTGAGTGGGCAAGCCATTTGAGGTCCCAGGAATGATTCATTTTGCAAATATCTGTCCGGTCTCTGTTACGGATTATTGGTGATTATGTTCTTTCCTCTTATATATTGTACTAGGGGATCCCTTTACTCTTTGAAAGGGATCTTTAGTGAAATTTTCATTGCATTCATAATCTGCAACAGGAAATGGTAGTTGGAAGAAGTTTTTTTTCTTTTCGGACTCTATTGTGAATAGAATAATTGGTAAACTTACGCAGGCTTATGCATTCCATAGGGATAATTTGGTAGGTTGTTAGAATGAGTTTCATATCAGCCCCTAAAACCATCCAATCACGTACATTTATATGTCGTGGTCGGGTGGTTAAACCAAAAACACAATCAGTTTCGGAACATTTACTTTTTATATATATATATATATATACACTGAGGAAGCTTTCGTTTTAGTACAAAAAGTCAATGCCTCTAGATGGAGGCGGGACAATCAGTTTCGGAACATTTTTTGAACTGCACCAAGGCTTCTTGCCAATTTGACGCAATAACCAAATGATCAATGACATTTACTTCCGCACTCTTTGGAGTGGTTGGGGGTGGTGGTGGTAAAAATGACCCAATCAATGCCAACGGGACTACCATCCATCGGCATTCACATGTCTTTGAAGCTTTGGAACTCTGATTGACTTCTCTCGCATTGGACAACTGAAAATTTACCTAAATTTATTGTGAAGCAACAGCTAGATATACATGTGTGAGTGTGTGTGAAGCAACTCAAGTAGTAGTAGCTCCTTATCTCATTGTCATAATAATCTGCATGTCACGAAACTGTCGCAAGTTCCTTTTCCGTTTATTTTCTTTTCTTTTTTTTCCCTTTTTTTGTTTTGGTGTGTTGACCGACAACATCATTTTCGTGAGACTGATTGGTTCGATCGTCGTACTTGATTCATTTCATTCACGAAATGACAGAAATTAAAGTCTATCTACTTATGTGTTAACTAACTACTTTGTACTTATGAGTTTTTAAAATTAGTGCAAATTTTTCACAATTTAATGTAATTTTTTTTTTTTTGTGGGACAAAAAAATTAGATTCATTTGTCTTCCTCGAATTAAAACCGGTCATAATATCCGATTTGTTATATATACATACATATATACGATCAAAAAAGAATAGTAGATGTCCAAATTGTGTCATTGCCGCATTTGCTTAAATTGTTTAGCATCAAAAAATGACACTTCAACTCGTTACTTTTGAACCGTAATTTGTTTCATTTTTTTGATAATTTGGAAGTAAAAAGAAAATACTCTATTCTCTCTTCGTATAATCAAACAGCCACTAAATCACATCTTTCCCGTCCTTTTTTTTTATTTATTGTGAGTCCAGTTTGTGAAAGTAAAAAAAAAAAAAAAACATAATAAACATACTAGTACTTTATTGTCCAAATTAATTTAAGGATTTTTATAAGACACAGAAGATAAGGGTAGAATATCATAAGAGTTAGTTTTTATTTTCTAATAATAGTAGTTAGATTAAAGAGAATAAATCATACCAAATCTAAGGAAAATATTACACAAATTAAAATCTACTTTTACATCACATCTCTCCCTCTCTCTCTACATTACATTACAGACTCCATCTTATGTGTATTTTTAACAATCAATAATAGTGTTCAATAACCTCCTCATTGAACATTTTTAAAGTAGTCCAGTGATTTTATTTTTCTTAACCACTAAGCCAAGAGCCAGAAATTCTTCTGCCATCGGGTGCTAATCAGATACCCACCCATTCCTTTGCTCTGCTTCCTCACTCCAATGGTTAAGCAATCCACTGTGTTTATGCATTCTTCCACAAATTCTTCCAACCTACTTCCTCCGCACAGGCTGCAGTAAATCCAACCAAATAAAAAGAGTTAAAACCCACTAACAACATTACAACAAGAACATATCATGATTATAATCCAAACATTTGTGTGGTGTTTTGGTTAATTTTCCATTATCTTTTTATATAATTAATGAAAAGGTCGTTGACTAGTTGTGGTCCTTGGCAACATGTTAATTACTACTAATTGTTATTGCCTGTTCCTCATTGAATAAGATGTCAGTGAAGAGTTATTGAATTGTACTTGTTTTTCATGAAAATGCAAATTGGCTTCTTCTTTTTTCCCCCCTTTACATAAGAGAAAGATTAGAGAATGAACATGGTAAGAAAGTGAGACATACCAATTAAGCAAAAGAGAGGGAGGCTTCTTCTGACCCAAAACTAAAACCGACACTTCCAGCTTCTTCACTTGGCTCATTACTGTTGCCAGTTTGGGGCCTTGAATCACCAGAGCTTCCACTTCCACCTAATTTCGTAGTGAACATTAAAGAATGTAGTTGATTATTTGTTGTTGTACTAATTCATCTTTTAAACAAAAACATTAGACAGTAAGAACACAGATCTAAGCAAAATTAGCAACTTGTGAAAAAAAAAAAATACAATCAGTATCGATAGTATCGAAGGATATATGACAAAAGGAGAAAGCAGTATGATGACTGAAGGAAGAAACAAAATGATGGTCTCGTGTTGATTCACGCTGGTAATAGTAATAATAAGTCTAAACCTTTGGCAAAAGAGGTTGAGAAAATTTAAAAAAAGGGACAGTCTTTCTGTCAGAAAAGGGTCCAAATCTGAAAAAAATTTGGCATAGAGAAAACAAAAATGACAGGGGAGATAACAGAAGAAGATCATGATTCATTGCAAAGAAACAGTCTTTTACCCTTTTGGTCAGAAAGGGGATGGGAAAAAAAAAAGAAAGTAGAAATGGAAACACAGTAGCTAAAGCTAGATTTGACTGCAAAAAGGGCTTCTTTTTTTTTCTATTAAGGTGTTTCCTGCTAATTTTTTCCACACCAAAAAAATTTCATAATATGCAGATTGTTTAACTCTGAATCTTCAACACAAGTTGAACAATTGTAGCCAAGAATGGACCTTTATATTTTACAGCATCATTAAACAGAAAGATGTACTAATTACCTCAGGCTTGCAAGCTTTACAAAGTGAACCCAGAGAGCTAGCAAGGTAAGGAGAGCAAGCAGAAGCAGAGGAAGCTGAAGAAGAAGAGTTGGAATCAGAAGAACACTGATTGGGAGGGATAATGTGAAGCAGAGTGAGCATATCACCCTTATTAGCAACATGAGTAAGAGCCCACATCATGGCATGCTTTGAATGTGATGTTTGATCCACAACCACCATAACCCTCTTCCTCATCACAAATCCACCACCATTTGCCTCACATCCATAGCTATTAAACCCTTCCATTTGACTCAAACCTCCATCTCCACCATAGTCAAAATCATAGCCCTCACTGTTGCTGTAGTGATTATTCTCAGTAGCCCACCTCATGGAAGCTGATTTCCATGCTTCTTTACCACTTATTTGCCTCAAAAATGCAGCAGAACTCGGCATTTTTTTTTCCTCTCCTCTTTCTGTTGTTGGCCTCACTGATTTTATGTCACTAGTGAAGTAATAGTACTACTTGGTTCTGTTTATATTTTTAAAGAGATGGGGGGAACAGAGGGGGGGCCAGGGGAGAGGGTGTGATTTTGATGATGTAATGTAATGTGATTTTATTATGGGGTTTTGTACGGCAAAAGTCACGGGAATCAAACTGGTGAAGATGGATGGATGGATGAATGGGAAAAAGTAGTAAACAAATGCCTGATGTCAGTAATATATGATGAATGATGATGAAAAATGTAGAAATGGATCGTGGATTCTACCATACTACTACCATCTTTCCTAATCAGATGCTTTAATCAGATGGTATCAGAATCCTCTTGTTTGTGCGTGCATTGGAAAATGGACCACGAAAACAAGGTAGTAAAAAATTAAAAAAATGATGCATTATTTGTAATGGTGTGTGATTTATTCAAGAAAGAAGATAGATATTGGGAAGAAGTAAACGACGAATTAAGGGGAGGAGGGTTGTGATTTTTAGGTCAACATGTTCAAAGTGGAACAATTAGTCGTCGACTTTGTGAGTTTCTATGAGGTTTTTTTTGGACCGTTTGGGTTGGTTTTTGTAGTAATTCGGAGTTTGGTCAGATCAGAGACTCAATCCATCCATCCAATAATGTTAGAAAAGCTGAAGGAGAAAGGAGTGATTGGTGGCGGTGCGGTGATCTAGATAGATTCAATGACTTGAAATTAATGTCGTATTTTCTTTGTTGTTAGTCTCAAAACTCATCGTCAATGTGATTATTGATTTGAAATAACCTCTTTTTTTTTTGGAGGAGGGAGGGGATTGGCGGGCTAGACTAGCCTTCCATGATGGCTTCCTTTTTATTTTCTTTCATTTTACACTTATTTAAATAAAAAAAATTTCTATTTTTGGTAAATAGCTCAGAATGCAAATTTTGTTTTTGAACAATTTGTTTACAAGGGAACAACGTATGGAAGGCCCATGCTTTTGTTTACTACTAATGGCATCTTCAATAAGGCATGCAATGAGTCACATCCAATCCTTTATAGCATGCTTTTGCAATGTCACGGTTATTAAAAAAAAAAAAAGTATTGTAATAAATAGAATATCGAGCAGAATAATTATTTTAAAAGCATCCTAATAAGTTAAACGCGTATTCTATAAATGGTAATCCTATAGTTGTTACATTTCTTTCACATTAGTTAGTAAGCAAATATATAAATTCCATTCATAATAAATATATAATAATAAACCACCTAAAACACATTTTATAACAAACTTTTCATCAATTTTGCCCTTACTTGTAATTGTAGAATGTGATATATCTTTGATATGTACTCCACTTAGGCAATGTGGATTTTGATGAGGAGGCCAATATGTTAGCAAAATTAAACCAAAGAATATCTGGAAGGACCAATAATTACAAGTTGAGTACCAAAGTCTGATGGAGGCTGGAGTCATGGTATGTACGTAAAATTACTTGAACAACTCTAATGGAAATATGAAATTAATCGCTTAAAGAAAAATGATAAAATTTGGCGATCATAATTGGCACTTGGGAAGAAAAAATGCTGAGGAATGCAAAAAGGGAACATAATTCATCACATATCCAACCCATTAAGCAAAGTGACCAATATCAACCTCATTGCCTTCATCACACACATATTCACACACCAATTTTTCATGTCTTCAAACTCCCATCATAATCAAACGTTGTACACCATCACCATTTTCCCAATGTACCGTCATCCTAGTACAAGTTACACCAAGAATTCAGATAGGACCGGACCCCCTGTTTTAAATCTTTACTGTGGTTTAGGCTGTAAATGTATTTGTTAACTTTTTTTTTTTCGGAGCTGGTATAGTAAAAACCAGTGCTGCAATTTTGTTGTTTTTACTTGTGGTGGGAATTGATTGATTGAAATCTCCTATAGGGTGGTGGTAGTGGTACTACTCATTTTAGATTGGGTTGGATGGATTTCATCAGTCAATCCAGTATTTTAGTAGTAGTAGTATAGTCTATTATTGATTGATTCACGGAATGAATACTTTTTTACTCACTGGGCTCTCTCTGACAAACTATCATAACACGTACGACCATTACAACACACTGTACAGTAATATATATCATAACAGTCCCCTTTTACTCATTTGTATTTTTTATTTTCAGGAAAAAAAAAACTGAAAAAAAAATTTTTTTTTAGTACAGTTCATACCAAAAGTACAATCTCTATCTAATGTTATTAATATATTTTGTCATGGTGTTAAAAAGTTTGTTTTAATTCGATCACTGTGTTATTTTAATTGTTGAATGAAGTGTAAGTAAGCTTTATTACGTAGATAATAAACTAAGTCTAAATAAATTATACTTTCGTTTTACTAAACAATAATGAGTAAGATTTGGCTATGCAAGTTAGGGTTCGTAAATGATTAATTTGGGAAAAGATAATTTAGGCAAACAATTAATTGTGTCAAAATGATCCGAAAGTATTAATTGTGTTAGGAATAAAAGACATAGGAATAAAAGACAAAACTACCCTTACTAATTAAACTGTAACATTAACTACAACAGGGGCATATCTATACAAACACATTTGCACTGATCTTCTATTTTTAAAGCCAATCTTCCCGCCATGGCTTTGTTTGAATCTTGATCATCATCTTCATGATGATCTTCCTCCGATTTCATCACAACCCCCTCAAGATGAGCCGGGGGTGAATCCCGGAGACTCATCTTTCCCAGTAAATGATGGAAAGGAAGAGCTCCAAGAGACTTTGTAAACAGATCAGCTAGTTGTGAGGAAGAAGAGATATGAGATGGATAGATGAATCCTGCCTTGTAAGCATCCTAACGACATGGCAATCAATCTCGATGTGCTTTGTCCGTTCGTGAAAAACTGGGTTAGCAGTGATGTGCAAAGCTGCCTTGCTGTCACACCATAAGGAAATAGGTAAGGAAGGAGAAAAAGACAAATCTTGCATGATGTAACTCGGCCACTGCAATTCTTGTACTTTATCATCAGTCCAGTGCTTACATTCCTTTGTGTCTCTTCCTTTAATAACATGGCAAATATAGTGTCTACATCAAGCAAAGGACTCATCATGAGTATTTCATTCCTGATTGAATCATAACAGTTATTAAGTCCCATAAGCAGTTGAAAAACCTTATCCTCTGCATCTCTAGCATCAAAATGCTTCTTGCCCTCACAAGAACACAGAACTGGGGCTTCCATTGATTGTACTCATCCCACAGTTTGTTCACTTTGTTGTAATACTTAATCATATTCATATCTCCTTAACTTATAAGTGTCAAATCTCGTCTTAATTGATATACCAAAGAACCATTCACCTTTCCATATCTGATTGCTATCACCTCCCAAAGTTGTTTAGCATCCTCTATATACATGAAACTACTAACTTGTGAAGGTTCTATGGCATTCCAAATCCATGATCTAACCATACTGTTTGCTCTAGACCATCGAAGAAAGGCAATTGAATTAAGCGGCGATTTCGTACAAGTTCCATCAATAAAACCTAGCTTTGCCTTAGCATTTAATACAGTTATCATCGACATTTTCCACATTGAGTAATTAGATGTCGTCAAAGGAGTACTTACTAGAAACATTCCAAGATTGTCAGATCCATGTATCTGGATTTGTTCTTCCATATACAGTTCCATCTCTCGATCTCTAATCCTCTGCCTTGAGGTTTCTTGACGGACGTCCTCAATTCTTATACGACCGAGTCCAGCTCCAAGCTCATTTGCTTGAAGATCTCCACTGTGACTCGATCCTACTCGAATCGACTCCATTCTTTACAATTCCGGTGAGGTTTTGTAGTGGAACCATAGCAGAAGCGATTTCTCAACTCAGATCATGCAGGATTAAACCTGCTCTGATACCATGAGCGAGATTTGGCTATGTAAGTTAGGGTTCGTAAATGATTAATTTGGGAAAAGACAATTTAGGCAGAGAATTATTGTGTCAAAATGATCTGAAACTATTAATTGTGTTGATTCTGTTATTTATACAGTTTAAGGTGGCTAATGTCGGTTAACCGTCATAGGAATAAAAGACAAAACTACCCTTATTATGTAAACTGTAACATTAACTACAGCAGGGGCATATCTCTACAAACACATCTGCACTGATCTTTTTAAAGCCAATCTTCCTGCCATGACTTTGTTGAATCTTGATCATCATCTTCATGCTGATCTTCCTCCGATTTCATCAAATAACTTTTCATATTGTCATCTCACTTTCTTACTAATATTTTAACATATGTATATTATCACCCTGATCATATTTGTTTAAATACTATTTTCAAAAATAAAAAAAGATTTTATTTTAACCTAAAGAATGAATATGAAATCGCCAACAAAGGGGGTAACCCAGTGATTTGAACTTTGGCATGGTTCGAACCTCCCTAATAACACTTCCGGTGTTGATTTTGTACAGGTTTGCTTGCACCAGTCAAGAGACTTTCCAAGTACCATATCAAGACGTGCGCATGTGGAGTTTCCCCTTTAGTAATATTATCCTCTTTCACATAAACCTCTTAGTAGTACGTGGAGTTTCCAAGTACCAATGTCGAGGATAAATTGGTAATCTTACGGTAGCTGAATAGAGTAAAAAGTGTGGAGCTGGGCGAATAATTCGGGTGCAATTATTCATTTATTTGGAAGTGTTACGACCTTTTGTCTAGATAACTCCAATTCTCAATTCACGAGGCCCTTTCTGACATTTATTTTCTTATTATTTTTTAAATTTGTTTTTGTTCTTTCTTCGTCGACACTTTCTATTTTGATTTTCGTTTTCTTTTCTATGCTTTTTTTTGCATGATATTGATACCAAAAAAAAAACATACGATATACTTATTCTATCTTAAAATAATTATATTTTGTTGAAATAGTTTCGTGAGTATATTTTTTTAACTTTTAATAACACGTATAAAGTAGTAACATACTTATGCAATTTAAATTTTTATTTTTAACATAAATTATACTCAACTTCACAATCATTTCAAGACTAAGATATTATCTATTCAATTAATTTGCTTGACGTGTAATATAATGGATTGCTATCTTTCTCCTTGTTAAGATGGTCATAACAATCATTTGTCGTATATTGTTATAAAATTTAGCTCGTATTTTAGATGATCAGCTAAAATTTGAGGGTGTTTTTTATATGAACCCTGACCTTTTTTTAAATACCAATTACCAATTGCAATTAGATGAAAAGTGATAGGGCTGTTTCTCTGGGCCTGGGGGGCAATGAAATGATGGGAAAAGCATTAGGAGCCCATTCGTTATGTAAGACAAATGGTGGAGTCACCAGATGGACTCTTTTTTTTTTTTTTTTTCCTAATTGATGAAAAGTTTTCATTCCAATTGAATATGAAATAAGTGATTTTAATATATATATATATATATGAGAGTCACCAGATGGACTTTTTTTTTTTTTTTCCTGTTTTGATCCTAATTGACGAAAAGTTCTCATTCCAATTGAATATGAAATAAGTGATTTCAAAATATATATATATATATATATATATGAAATAAGTAGTCCAACATCAACAAATATACCGTTACTACAACGATATATAGTTATTTTTTTTTATTTATATTGGAAAAGTCGAAACTTAGGTACAAAAGTAATTCATCGAGCGTGAGTTAAACTAAAATAATTTAACGCTATTTTTTGTATAATAATGTCGGGGGCATTGACAAAACATGCAATCCCAAGACATATGTGTACGCTAATTTTGCTAAAAAATATGCCGATTCGTTCCCGGGTCTTCTAAAATGGAATACCTCAACTAACCAATGGCGGTTCAAAAGCGTCCTTATTCTATTGAGAACGTTACTATAAATATGGGTCGGTCCTCAACGATATAAAGCTACTTAATGACAAAAAGATCACCTCTGGATCATCTTGGTCTCAATTTGATTTTTACAATCGGACAAAAGATCATATTTAAACTTTGATTTTACAGGCCGCCCATTTGGGCTTAGATGATACAAATTACTACTTGCCATGATCGTGAAGGTTTTTAATTCAACTCCTTTTGATGTACCTAGTATTTTGGCTAATTTTTCTAGGTAAATTTTCAGAATTTTGCCTCCTCCTCAGAAAAAAAAAACAATAAACAATAAAATTAAAACTTGACCAAAGTTCATGATATGGTTTTTTAGTTTTTTAGTTTTCTACGTTTTTTTTTGTTGCACTTTTTTTTTTCTTTTTTTACTTTAAAGTAGCTAACCCAAAAAAAAAAAAAACCAACAAACAAACAGTAGCTAACCAAAACAGTTTCCATAAAAAAAAATGTTTTGACGCAAAAAATTGAAAAGCGAAAAATTGAGTGGATTGGAAAGTAGTAATTTCCTTTTAGTTATTATTAACTGAATCTTCATATTGCTTTTTGGCCTAAGTAGATTTTTAGAGGAAGGAATTCATCATACTGAAAACCATTAATATAAAAAATATATATTTTATTTACAAATATTAAAAAAAATATAAAATTACTCGTTAACTAGTAAGTCAATTATCAAAAAGGTTATCCGATAACTGAAAATTGATACGTGTACATGAATATTTTATTTACTTTTTTTTTTACATGTCTCCGGAACTGAATTTTAGATTTAGACATTAATATTTGATTTTTATTAGAGTTTGAAAAACATTCGAGGAGGGTTTTCATTACAGGCTACAAACGTTTCCTCGGCACTTTTTTTTTTTTTTGTCGAATTCATGTACTACATCAATTTTTAGTTGTCTGGATAACCCTTTTGATAATTGATTTGCAGATTAAATATCATTTTTTATATTATTTTTTAAATAGTAAAGATGTTTTAGATAATTAGCTAGACCTCAAGGGTGTTTTTCATATGATGAGCACTTGAGCAGCATAAAGGAAGCTTCTTTTTAATGGAACTCCCCCAAATAAAGTTGGACTCAGTTTATAGCTCAAGACGCCCTCATTGTGGGGGTTATAATCCTAACAATGTTAGGAGATTTCCAATCAATTTCACTTCTTGAAGTGGAATAGAGCTTATGAAAAGTGTAAAAACTCGCTCTTCCTTTACAATGGTCATAGTTTAAATATACAGTATTATTATCATCTATATAGAACATGCGCCAAACGCATATAGTCCAGCCAGTTACACATAAAGAGCGTTTCTATTATTTTATCTAATGGAGTATTTGTAGTAAAATCCTAGCGTAATTATGGGATTTTCTGAAAATTACCTTGAGTAATGTAATTTACAGTATTAACCGTTCCTACCTCCATTAATAATGGCGGGAACAATTTCAACGAATTTACGAAACGCCCCATTTCCCTCCTCCTTTTTTTTAACCTCCTATTATATCCATATAAAGCAGGAAACCGCGAAAAAAAAAAAGAGGAAAAACAAATTCTATTAGCCAGTGTATTGAAATCCCCTAATTTCACTACCAAAAACCCTAATTCTCAACGAATCTTAATCGTTGACTTGGTTGATCAACCAATGGAGGATCCAGCTGAAATGGTAGCAGTCCAAGATCTCCGGCCGATGCCGCCGGCGTCAAGCGTCCGGCGGAGGTTAGTTCAATCTACTTTGTTTCCGATCAATAAAAAAGATCAAATTTGCAAGAATGGAGATTATAAAGGAGAAGGAGAACACGGCGGAGCTTACAAGGAAGAAGGGGAAGAAGAAGACGACGACGCGGAGGAGGAATGGGATTGTAATAGTAAGAAGAGGACGCGAAATTCTTCTGCCAGGAAGAAGAAGAAGAAGGCTAATAATAGTAATTCGAAGACAACCCCGCGATCTAGAGCTACTAAGAAGGTTCAATCTTTACTCCTGTCCCCAATTTTAGTCTTAATTCTCGAGTACCTAGTTTGCATTCCTTATTTTCTAAATTTTCACTTTAGGGTAATAATTACTGATGTATAAGTCGATTCGAGAATCTGGAAAGGGTAATTAGACAGAACCAATTGTCTTAAGGTACCAAAGAATAGAGGATTAAGTTTGATTTGTCTTACATGAAAATGTGGTTTTGATTCAACAACCTCTCTATTACTACTCTAGAGCATGAGGCTGAATATTGCTTGCATCAAACATTTTAGTGATAACTAAAGTATGATAAATAGCTCTGGAATAGTTGGGAATGAAATTGTTCTTATAATCATATTTTCTGGCTGTTAGGTTGCTGTAAATCCAGGAGATGTTCCAAGCCTGAAGGTGGATGAAGGAGATTCTCCCGTTATTAGTAAGTGATGCCTTTATCTCTTGGATGTATGCTACCGTTTGTCTTTTTTTTTTAATTGTATTTTATTTTATTATTTTGATTTATGAGTAGGAGATCCCGCATTACATCTAAGGCGTCATTTTTGAACTAAAATATATAAATCGTAACGATAACTTGATCTATGTTTTCAACATGTATAGCCTACTATAAGAAAATGGTACATAGACGGAATGCCATCTTATTATTTTCATTGCATGTAACTCGTTTAAGATCACATAGGTTTTGCATCTAACTTTATACGAGTAGATAGAATGAGAAATTAGTTTCATTCTTCCAAAATCAGATAATGAACAATATACTACTCTTTTTTTTTTCCCTTTCCTTTATCATGTTCCAATAGCATATTAATGAAGCAACAATGTAATTCAAAAACGTTTCAAAGCATGTAAGGATGGCAATTTTTGTGAGATGTTTAGCGGTTGTATGTTATATTTTTTTAATGTAATAATTGCCTGTGTCCCCGAAGCCACTGATTTAATTCTGCTTCTATTTGTGCCTTTTCTTTCCCATATTTTTCAGTGTCACCATCCAGAACCAAAACCAGACCAATCTCTTTTACCTACTTTACAGGATGCATTTTGCTTTTCCGTAGGTGTCTTGCTATTCAGGGTCAATAATGCGATAGTTCCTCTTTTTGCAGGATCTAATTCCCAGCTTCAGAACTCACTGGAAGGAAATCAGAAAATCCAGGAAAATGATGACGTGCCTGTCGTTTTATTGGAAGAGAATAGTGAGTCCTGCTCACCAAATTCTCCTGCCAGTATGTCTCACTGCCTTATTTTGTTTCACCAGTTATCTATCTGGATAGGCAATAAGGTGTGAAATTCAAATTTTATAAGTGAAGAATCTTTGCTTTAGGTATTTGGTTAAACCAAGTTAATTCATCTTTGAAACCAGATGCCATTTGACAAGGGTGGCAAAAAGCCTTATCGTCGTCAACCTTATTCGAAGGAGCAAATTGTGTCCTTTTAGAGTGTATAATTAGGTGATAGACTCTGTAAATGTGGTTACCTTCTGTATTTAGTGAATTAAGTTGATTAAAATCAAATTGACTTGAAGTAGTTGGGTTCTTGTTAATGGCTCTTGTCGAGCTACTAATTTTCGGACTAGTTTGTAGGAACTTCTCCTAACGTTAGCTTTTCCTGAGACTAGGTTTGTGGTTTAGGTGATATACTGGACAGATTGAATTCAAGGAAGATTGTGGTTTGATGGTACAACCATCTCTTATGGTCGATAGCATATCAAAGTTGGAAATTTTACTTGGTCTAGAGTTTTATTTTGACAATTGCAATGCTATATGATTGCATGTATCCTGATTCGTTAAATAAGTTATATGTAACTGTTTACCTGAATCACCTGATACATTTTGGACGAATATTCCTGAATTTCTTTTTCTGTATGATAGATAAGAGGACTCCTAGAAAGCCGAAACAAAAGGCCAACTCGTTGGTGGAGGAGAAAAAGAAAACGAAGACCACACCAAAGAAAAAAGTAGTGAATGGTCCCCAAAAAGGGCCAGATGAACCCGCACCGCAACTTATTCCTAACTTGAGGTTGGAAGCAAAAAAATCTGCAGAGGTTTGTTGGACTGTTTGTCTGTTCAAGATGTACTTTTTCTCTCTTTATGTTTTTGCTTCCAAGCACAATTCATGTGTATTGTTTTATTTTTGCTGGTATGGCATTTGCTCTCTTCTTGCTGGTATGGCACAGTTTGTTTGGATGAATAAATGTTGATATTATTAGTACAGGGGAGATCAGCACATTGATATGATATCGGCATCTGCATTTCGTCACTTTATTTTTAATGTTGACTGATAGATCCCAATCTATTGCTCTTTTAAGAGATTAGATGCTCAACTCATTTAACCTAAAGATCTCTTTTCGTGTATCAGGAGAATTCAAGATTGTTTGCTGGAAAACAAATTCATCCATTTTTTTCATCAATGAAGTCAATCAAAAGAAACCAAGAGATAATTGATCTGGAGAATTCTTGCTGCTCTGTTGAAACAAAAGAACCAAGCCTTGTTTTCAACCCTATTCATGTCTTTGACCATGCTGAGGTATTTTCATCCTTAGTTTTACAGCCGAAGTGTTTTAACGGTGCTATTTTGATGTTTTCTAGATTTTATGTGATTGATCTTGAAAATTTGACCATGCAGGATGATGCCTTGTCATTAGACTGGGGGAATTGGGTATTTTATGATAGGGATTCTCTGAATAACCAATATGACCTAGGTTTTGTCTCCTTATCTGCATACGAAGGACATGTGAGCTCTTTACAGTTTGATGAAATCTCCACTGTTGGTCTTCCAACCAGTGTTAATGCGTGCCAAAGGGAGATATCTCTGGTTGAATGTGATACACTTCATAAGGTATTTGAGTATTTGTAAGATAAAGTTTATCTGTGAGATAATTTTCATTAGCATTACATATGCATTAACTAGTGTATCAAGTTCTTGAAAGATTTTAAATTAGAAGTTTTTCTATTTTCTCCCCAATGTTAGTTTTGTAAATCATAAGACTTCATCCAGATTCTGTTGTCTTTTTCAAGATCTCTATGATCTTTGTTCTCTTGGTAATGATCGTCAGTACATCAGCATATTATACCTTAGATTAAAATTTTTTCTGTTAGTCCTTTTTTTTTCTCCATCACAAAGATGCTGAAGTCTCAAACAATTGACAGGACTGTGGGGTTGAGAGAAATGAAGCATCTACCTCAGGTGTAAGCTGCTGTGACAAGTGGCAGGGAGGCTACATTGAGCAAATGTGAGCACTTGCATCGTTTTTGTGATGTATACATTTGCACAAATAGTTGCCAGTCTGCCATCCTCAGTTTGTCTGGTCTTAGCCTCCATTCCGATCTATATCTTGTCTATTTTTGGGAAGTTATGTGCACATATTTTTATGTGGACATCTAGTGTTATGTTTGATATACCATATTTTAAATTTCTATCCTGAAACATAACGTATTATTTATGCCATAGATCAATTTGCACAATGCCAGTCAACCATGGTCAGTTTCTCTTATCTTCTCCGTTGCAGACCTAAAACGTGTCCAGTTTGGGAAGTTGTGTTCAGATGTCTCTGTGGACGGCTATTGTTTTGTCTGATATACCATATTTATGTTTCTATCCTCAAACATAACATATCGATTACGTGATAGATAATATTGCACAAATATTCAGTCAACCATGATCAGATTTTCTGGCCACACGCCTCCATCTGCTACCTAAAACTTGTCTATTTTTGGGATTATGTGCATATATTTTTATGTGGACAGCTAATGTTATGTCTGATATACCATATTTAAGTTTCTATCTTCATAATCCTAGTGTTATTTTCCCCTGCATTTCTGTAATGATAATTTTTATCTATTAAGTCATTAGATGTAGGAGATATAAGAGTTCCAAAGTTTGATTTCTATAGTTGTTCCTTAGTGATAGGATGTCAGTGGCAAGATAAATCAATTTCCTCTTGACATGATTTATAATATCACAGTTATGGGGAGCAGCAAGCTAATTGCTTATGGACAGACAAATTTCGACCAAGGAAGGCTGCACAGGTGAAATACCTTATAGCCAATCGGGTGTATTTATTTATCTTTTATTTTATTTATAGAGGAGGATTCTCTTCTTCACAAATTGCCGTGGTGCAATTTCTTGTTTTGCCTCACAAATGTGTTTTGGGTGTCCATTTTGTGCAGATATGTGGCAATAGTGATTCTGTTAAGTTTCTAACGGATTGGCTATGCATGTGGCATGAAAAAAGTTCTCAAGTTGGGAAAAGCAGCTTTTATGACGATAGTGCAGTTGACCAAGATGATGATTGCTTCTCTTATCCTAGTGACTCTGATTCTGAAAATTTCAATGATGAAACCTCTTTGAATAATGTTCTCCTCGTTACAGGACCAGTTGGGGTATGACATTACCTGTTCTTTTTACCCTTTTAAAATCATGTGATGAGTAACTGCTACGTTCTGGTCTCGTCTTTGATGGATGATATTATCTTCAACGTGATATTTTAAGCTTTTTGAAACTTAATATATGCTTATAACCTGAATTCGGTGTTGACCTTGTATCTACAACTTCCATTGGACTAAATGCTCACATATATACATATATATTTTGAAAAAATGTTAAAAGTGCTGGGAGCCGACCTCTGCTATTGTACCTCCTGGTTCAGTCTAAGTGATTGTTTTTGCCTCCATTTTATGCAATATTGTTGTGGTCTCGAGCATAATTTGCATCATGCGATGGCCTTTTCCTTTGAACATCCTAGGAATATGCGATTGTTGATTGATTGATTAAACTGTTTGTTTTTTTGATTGCAGAGTGGGAAATCTGCTGCCATCTATGCCTGTGCTGAAGAGCAAGGATTTCAAGTTATTGAGGTACTTTTGATAGCTATTCCCAATTAAATCCAGCTCTTAAACTGAAGTATTTACGCTGTGAATTGAACTGTGGCTTAGGTGAAAGATGTTAATGCTCAACATTTAAGGTGCTTTAGTTCTGATTAGACAATTGAAACCTATTCTCCATCTTAGATAATTTCTTATAATTCCAACTTCAGTGAATTTAAACTCAGTATACAAGGTCAAAACATCATAGCGGCCATTATAAAACAAATACTCCACTTCGATATTGCAAGATTTTAGTTCACTGAATCAGTTTGAACTCATTTTGCATTTATTGGTCAACTTTTTTTTTTTTTTTTTTTTCACATTTAAGGAAAAATGCAGGGAAGAAAGAAAAGGAAAAGATATTCAAGTGCACATGTTATAAATGATCAGTTTCATTTGTTCTTATAGTTTCTCCAATCGACTCTGGTGTCTTTTCCTCCTTTTACATTTCACACGAGTTGCATTTTTGTTAACCATGTAAGACCATTGCATGGTGAATAGTTTCAAACTATGAACAGTACATATCAACCAAGCATGTTGCTTTGTGTTGCAGAGGAGGGACTCACTCACATAAAGGCTATAGGATTATAAATGTGATATCTTCGTAATATTTCAGTATTACAAACTGCCACCCTTTTATGTTTCCAGGTAAATACATCTGACTGGCGCAATGGAGCCCTAGTAAAGCAGAGGTTTGGAGAGGCTTTGGAATCACATTGGTTGCAACGGTATGTCTCACTTAATTGCATGCAATTTTGTGCATATATTTATTCCTGCACTTTTTTGCTTTATCTTTCTTTTGTCAAATGTAAACATTTCCATCCTACTCTATCTCAACATTTTCAACTATATCCTTATCAGTTTGAAAGAGTCCACAGCTCCAGGAATTTCTTCTGACCTGCTCTTATGTTTTATTTATCATGTCCAATCACCCTCCACAATTTTCTTTTCTTCTCAGATTTATTGCGCCTATTGATGTAGTTTATTTCGTCTCTTTTTCCTCCTTGCTCTGCCCTATTATCTATATCTGACATTTTTCTGGCTGCCCAACTTCAGTCTTTGATCCTTATATGAAGAAATCCCAGTGCTTTTGAATTTGCATTTTTTCGGACTTCAACTTTAACCTCAGCTGTTGTTAATTCATAACGTTTTGATATATATGTATATGTGTGTGTGTGTGTGTGTATGCTTCCGCTATGATTTTGTTCAACAACTCAAACCGTAAATGATCTGCTATTTTGACTTCTATTTCAGTAAAGTAAATATTAAAGAGAATTCAGAGAAGGAACCTCCATCAAAGTTTTTCCCAGGGATGAGCCGAGGGTCTGAAATTGAAGTTGTTGAGATACCCCCATCAGACGAAGACAATCAACAAAATAGTGAGATGTCATGTAAATCAACTTTTGGGGTGGATAAAATTCAGGAGACTCAAAATGTAATGAAGACTTTGATTCTGTTTGAGGACATTGATATTGTTCTCGTTGAAGACCATGGTTTCTTATCCACAATAAAGCAACTCGCCCGGACAGCAAAGCGTCCAATGATTTTGACTGCTAATAGTATGTGATTTTTCTGATTTGACTTTTGTATTTTTCAGAACTCCCCTTTCTTATTCTTCTAACTTCTTCACACTCATATCAGGCAAAAACCCTGCCCTGCCAAGTAACCTGAAAAGGCTAGAGGTGTCTTTTGAAACACCATCATCAAAGGAGCTTCTTGAGCTTGGACATGTGGTATATACTTTTTACATTTTCCTTTGTTATTTTATTTTTTATTTGGGAGATCTTCTTTATGAGTAAAAGTTGATATAGTCATGGTTGTTTCATGTAGGTTTGTGAGACTGAAAAAGCTAAAGTTCCTCCTTGGTTGATAGATAGATTTGTCAAATGTTGTAAGGGTGATATTCGTAAAACTATTATGCTGCTGCAGTTTTGGTGCCAGGGTCAAAGTTTAAAGAAAGGTACACCTGCATATCATGCATCCTGTTCATATTTTGAGGATATGGTTCATAAAATACGGGTATGTCAAAGTGCCATGTAACAACCTTTTCTTTTTTTTAAAAAAAAAAACTGGGTGCAAAGTATAGCCAATAATCTGCATTATTAAGATTAGGTATAACTTGATCATTGTTAGAGCTTGTCAATCCTTATATAGATAACTAGCTATCTTATACAATGTCTTGGTTGACGCTCCTTGACTTTTGTGTATTACCTGCATCTAAAGAGAAAAAATTGAAATGGAAATGTAATCAAGGAAAGTGAAGTGGAAAAATTTGGATCTTGAGGATTCCAGAAATATATCTATTCTATAACAAGTTCAATCTATTAAGCTCCTTCAAAATATTCAAAAACACAAAATTGCAGCAGCCTATTTGCATTTAGAAAAGTAAAAGAAAGAAAGAAAAAAACCCTACTCTCAAGCTCATGTGGTGTTCTGATCCATCCTTCAGCCTACACAGCACCCGAACTCCTTATTAACTACAGGAATTCCTTCGTAATATATGACTCTATTTATAACTCCAGTCTGCCGTGATTTTATGTACTAGAAGTTTTTTTGTTTGTAGTACGAAAATTATTTACAGGTCTCCTAACGTCGCATTTCCCAAAAGGGATAAACCAAAATGCATGTCATTACTTCTAGGGATTGGTTTGAATGGTTTTAATAGTTGGACGGGTCTTCATTTGACTGACGGGAAGAATTAAATATGGGATCCTTGCTGCTAACCAAATCATTGTTAACTCAGTTAGTTATGGCTAATGTATATCTTCTTATTACATCTTAATCTTGAAAGAAGTGATGTTTCTTAACTTTCTGATTCTGAGACTAAAGGTCTGTCACAGTAAATTTAACATGCAGAAAATACAGTTCGATATAATCTGATTTATCTTACTTTCACTCTCCATTATGAATGTGCCAATAAATGCGCTTTTTTTTTTCCCGTTAAATGTTCAGGTGACAGATTGCAGATAACCTATCGTCCACTTCCATTTGAACTTCAAGCTGGGCATGCGATACTTCCCAAACTAATCCCTTGGGGTTGCACTTCTCAACTATCTGAAATTATCGAGGAGGAGATCACTAAGTCGTTAACAATGATGGAAGAACACAAAGGTTTAATGGAGATAGTTGTAGAACAAGAGTTAGTAGATGGGAGATCACATGGAACTCCGACGTTTCGTGATGAGACTTACTGGATTGATGCCAAGAAAGAAGCTATGCTGAGCTTCCATTGTTCAGTTCAGAGTGAAGGTGTGATCTTAGCTAGTCCTGATTATAGATGTCAAACTTCAAATATATCTGGATCCCCAGTCACGGTTTTCAGAAGAAATGTAAGGAGAAAACTGGAGACAGTCATCTCCTCCGATTCTGAAGAGGATCATTTAGGTGATAGTTCTCCTGCAAATTTTGTTGGGGCGTCTTTTGATGATTCTTACACGATGCAGGACATGAAAACCATTTATTCTCCACATAAATTTACCATTGGAAGGTGCTGCGTTCAAACTGATCACCTTACCCACTCTGAAAAGGCCGGAGTGGAGCAAACTTTTACAGAATGCTCAGAAAATGTTACACATCCACAAAGTAATGGCTTTTGCACATCAATGGGAATCTCCTGTGTTCCAGAATCATCCTTTGTCCCTGAGACTGAGGTTGATGATAAAACAGAGGTATTCTCCGCAGAGGTATCATGCAGTCTTCTTCACAAAGAGGAAGGAAATTCCACTTGCAGGGGTGCATTAACAAACTCATTTTTGGTTGAGAATGATATTCTTTTTACCCCCTTTCTGGATAATCATGAAAAGCTTGGTAATTGTAGTAATGTTGACGGGGCAATGTTTCATAAAGAGGAAGTAGGTGATTCTCATCTTGAATGTGTGGAAGAGGGTGTCAGACAGCATCCTATGTTGGATGAATGTAGCCGTATTGACTCCATAGGAGTCAAGAACTTGGAAAGGCTTAGGTCTCATGGACAAATTGAGTCCATCGATGAAACATGGAAAAGACTTCGTGATTGTACTATGGATTTCCGAAGGTATGTTACCCTTGAGGAGAAAGATGTTCTCCAGGGTCTTGAAGTTGTTTCAGGAATGTCTAATTTAATTTCGGAGGCTGATCTACTGCTTAGTTCCTGCGAACCACAAATTTGTGTAAGTGACTTAATGAATGGTTACTGTTCTTCACTTGTTTTATGTTTGTAGTTCATTCACTATGGCTTACCTGTTATATAAAATGCAATAATCTGATTGTTTGATGCTTGAACAGGATTCGGTCGAACCATCATTGCTACCCAGTGAGAGTTCACAATTATGTAGCTGGTATGAGGATCATCTGCATATGTCATCGACCATGGCTCAACATGGTATTTGTTTCTACGCCAAGAGAACTGTTGCACTAGGATTAAGAAGGGGCTTATTGGATAGAGTAGATTTGGCACAGGAGATGTTATCCTCTTCTACCAGTAACATGGCTCTTGGAAAATTACTTAGTGTGGAAAGTAAAGTAGCGAAGGATATGGAGGTGCCATCACGGATAAATAGCAGTTCCTTGAGAAGGTACAATACTTGGTCTCTCTATTGCGATTCAGATTTTTTGCTTGTCTGAAATTGGATTGATTATTATATATATATACACACACACCAAAGATACTTGATCAGTACCTTATGCTTGACTCCAAATACTCAATATAGAGTCTGTGTATTGACAGTTTGAGCTTTTCATGCGTTCCTAATCAGCTAGAGTATATATGACAATGGGGATAAAGTGATGTAATAATATCCAGATGTCAGGGTATCTTCATTCATTTATCTGGTCAGAGTAACTCAGAATTCATTTGTACTTCCTTTTTATCACTATTATTAGGCCATCAAACTTAGTTATAAAGCTTTTGCATACCAACTTTAGTCGAAGTGTTTTCAGTGTTCTTTAACTTTTAATGGAAGCTGTATTCTCTGGTGCCTTTGAAGCAGGGAGATGGACTTGTCCATTGGCAATATACTTCAGTCTTTAGTTTCCACCCGATCGCATCTATCTTTACGTGGTGATGCTTTTCATGATTATCTCAGTTCATTGAGTAAGATCTCAAGATTAGAATCAATGAGATTGTCCGAACAGGCATCAGCAGAAAAGAAGAGAAGGTATGTCCGCTGTCTTTTTGCTGTGACTCGGCAAATTCTCAGCTTTTGCAGGTGCTCATAGAACTGTGATATGTCTCAGTTTCAGGACTCGTACAGCACGACATTACTTGAATTCCGGCCCATATTCATTATCCCCGGAAGATATATCATTTCTCAGCCAACACAGTTGCTTTCAAGAGATGCAAGTCTTAGGTAAAGCTTCATGTGAAAGGTGACATACACATTTTTCTCCTGTGTACATAAGATTAACTATAACTAAGTAAGCTGGTTCAAGATCTTTCATTCGAATAGTATTTCTCTGAGAGGAAATGAATGATGAAAAAACTCACATACTGCTGATGAAGCTCATCTGTGTTATTAAAGAACAGATGAGAAAGGCTCAAAATAGGTTGTGTCGTTTTAGGTTACAACTATATGAGATTCACCTAAGTTTCATTCATGGTAATGTAGAAACACAGCAAACTTGATGTACCAAAATTCTATTATATTTGATCGATATATAAGATTATGAAAGAAGTGAGATTTACAGTTATATAACAGTTCTGTAGCAGCTTTGTGGCCTGGTTTCCAATGAATGATGAACTTTTTGTTGATCTATTATTCTTTTTTTTTGTGTGTGTGTGTGATGACGTGGCAGTCTTTACCGAGTATCTGAATGTCCATCAACATCAAAGGGGGCTGATTTCTTCCGTTTCCGGTACGGTGAAAGCGTTCTTTCATCAAGGAAAAATAAGTTGGGCGGTTGTATGGTCTGTATATTAAGCGAAAGAGAATTGCAAGTACGCCCAAATAATCACCGGTGAAATATATAGAGAATTAGCTTTGAATCCAATTCTTTCTGCCTCATTTTAACCTTGAGATGGACAATGAAGAATTGAATCCCAAAAACACAGCATATCTCTCCATCCAAGCTGAAAACCTCTTCTACATCCATATTTGCGACATCTAAATGATACACTCTGAATTTGTTTGTAATGCATTTGAAATCCCAACGATTTTCATAAATACAGGCAGTGCTGAGCCAATATTCATCATCACTATCTTCCCAGAGAGATCTGCTGGGGCATCCCAAACCCAAATATCACCAACACTATGGATTGGGTAGAATTTCGGGTTTGTAGTGATTTACATGCATGAATTGGCATATTTCTGTGTTTATCCGAGTCCAACTTGTATGTCCAGCCTTACACAAACCCAAAGACCTACCACCGAGCACAGCAACTAGAGTAAAATCCAATGACACACACGGATTCTTTGACAACACTGCTTCTTGGATAAAGTATAACGAGGAGGGAAAGCTTCATAATATTCAGGATAAAATCGGAAATTGGGAATCTCAATGTGTGCCCCGGAGAAAGGGTTCAAAAGAGAAATAAGAGAATTACCAGGGTAAAGAGTATTGATCTATAGAGACTTTTAGTCATCATTCAGTCATGGAAGACAAACGATACGATCATGGGTATGAATTTTGACCAAGAAAATAAATATTAAGGGCTGGCACATAGTATGTCACTAATTCACTATAGATTTTGTGCAAAAGTCCAAAGTATTTATTTATTTTTTTTTATTGTTTTGTTCTTGTAAATCACTTTTCTTTTAAGTGAGAACTAGATATTTGGCCCAGGCAGATGCCCGAGCGCCCCTTCTAAATTACTATTTTATTAAAATCTAATTGAATCACTGTTTTTTGAGGAATTAATTTGGCGTATATATCATTTATGCTATGGTTTGGGGCTTAAAAAAATATACCTATAAATATGAGGTTATAGGGGAATAATAAATAATTAGTTTATATAAGGCATTATTCTTAATTACTGAATTTAAGTTTTTTTATTTTTTTGTTTATATTAAGCCTGCAAAACTGTACGATTGGACATTTGAATTTGAATTAATATATCCATTCGTTTGAATTTTAACTGATTCTTATTTGTAGAATTTTTTCATTGGACTTGGGTCACATCTAAAACATGTGTGTTTTTATTTTTTAAAAGAATTATATAGCTTCTAATTAAAATAGACTTACACGTGGCAAAAAGACTCCTGAAATCTGAAATATGGTGCATTGGAGCCAAAACAGATGCATATGTAGTTGCCACATAAGCTTCATATCTTCTGTTTTAGTAGGGTAAAAGGGACAAGTGGAAATGCCAAAATCAACAATTTTTTGACACCTACGCCTTAGGAAGGAAAATTAAAGTTGAATATTAAGATAACAAAAAGATTTTTCACTTGTAAGGGTACAATTTCATGTAAGCAAACCTAAAAAAATTGTTTGTTGGAAATGAGTTTTTTTTTTTTTTTTCGTGAACCAGCAAAACGAATCTTAGGTGTCATGGTAATAATGAAATTGGAATAAGTTTCTCCTTATTTGACCAATAAATTATTGGGATTCAACATTTTACTTATGATGCCCTTGATTTTGAGGAACAATGATAGAATTTGTTAGGGCTTCCATCGTGGGAGTGAAGACACAAGTGACATTTTTAAGCAAATTGATGACTCCATTCAAACAAACAATTGGAGGACTATATTTGTAGCATATTTTTTTTTTTAAAAGAAAAAATTTAGAACTAAGAGCCATTTTGCACAGTATGATTTATAGAAACTTAGTAATCATTTTAATTTGAAATTTTTAACTCACTTTTTTCTTTTCCGGAAATAATATTTTCATATTCTTTACTTATTTTCTTAACATAATTTTTAGATATAGTAGGAAGGGGAATATTAGTGTATGCATCCCAACGTTTATACCCTATTTGCGATCATCCCAAAGTTTTATAATTGGTTAATTACGTCCCAAGGTTATCAAAATTGAGCAGATCCATCCCATGGCCTGCAAACCAACAAAAGTGACCTGGTATAACAGGTAAAATTATTTGAAAATCTCATATTTAACATTTTTACTTTTGTTTTTTTTTTGAATTTTTATTTTTTTTAGTTTATTGAAACAAAAATAACATTTATAATGGAGAAACTAAAAACTTTAATTTTATTTGTAATGAATCTAATTTATTTTATAATATAATTCATCCTAATTTTTTGATAAAACTTAAAGAAACTTTCCAAAATTTTTTTTTTTATTTTGAGTGAAAAATAGAATGATTAAACTTTCATATATATATATATATATGTATATATATATATATCTTGTATTCAAAAATTAATTAAGTTTGAGTTTATCCAAAATTATAAATTACCCCCTCTGCCCCATAAAAATAGTCCATATTGAGTTTTGAGTTTTGTACTGATTTTATTACTAATTTAAAAATTCAATGTGGACTATTTTATGGGACGGAGGTAGTATTTCATCTTAATAAATAAATTATTTTAATTAATTAAGTAAGTTTTTTTGAGTTTTTTTTAATCTAGAAATTTTGTTTGTTTTTTAATGATATAAAAAATGACAAAGAAAATAAAAAATGAGAAAAAAAATGAGACCCAATAGTTTTTACCTGTTATATTGTTTTGTAGGTCATGGGATGGATCCGCTCTATTTTGATAATCTTAGAACGTAATTGATCAATTTTAAAAAGATTGAGATGAATTAGTACACTGATAGACACATTGTGATGTATCCACTCATTTACTCATAAGTATAGTAAGCCTCGAGATTTACCATCCACCATTACTAACTACCCGTTACAGATACCAAAACCCATCAATAATAGAATTGGAATAAGTTTCTTCTTATTTGACCAATAAATTATTGGGATTCAAAATATAACTCATGATGTCCTTGATTTTGAGGAACAATGAAAGAATTTGTTGGGGGCTTCCATTGTGGAAGTGAAGACATAAGTGAAAATTTGTAAGCAAATTGGTAGATTCAATTTAAACAAAATAATGGAGGACTAGATTTGTAGCATTTTTTTTTTTAAAAAAAGTTTAGAACTAACCGGTATTTTGCACAGTATGGATTTATAGAAACTTACTCATCATTTTAACTTGAAATTCTTACCTCACTTTTCTCTTTTCCTGAATTAAAATTTTCATATTCCCTTTACATTTACTTATTTTCTTAATATAAATTTAAGATATAGTAGTATAGTAGTAGGCCTCGAGATTCACCATTCATGATTACTAACCACCCATCACCATTCATGATTTTAATAAAATCTCTTAAGATATTTTATATTTTGTTAATCATATAAATTTTTTTATCATTTTAAGTTAGTATGTGTCATTTGTACTTTAAAACTAGAATATCAATACTAATAATTATATTTATCCATTTGATTATGATGTGTTATTTTAATTTTACATAATAATAAATATATATAACTGATAATAGTGATGTACAATTCACATTCAAATCACGTGCAGAACATGTGCAAATCACGTGTATATATATATATATATATATATTTATAAAGTTAAAGAAAGATTGATTGAATGATATATGTTCATCTGGTGCTCCTAATGAAAAATATTTTTGATTCCACCACTGCCCATTACATATACCAAATCCACGAACGAGTTACCCTAGAGAAGCGTCAGTCAAAAGTGAAAAAAAAGGGGAAAATTATGCTCAAGGGCACCGGAAGAATAGAGTTTATTATTAATAGCATTTCTCTTGCCCTTAATCAAAATTATAAATTACCCCCCCCCCCCCCCCGGTCCCATAAAAATAGTCCATATTGAGTTTTGAGTTTTGTACTGATTTTATTACTAATTTAAAAATTCAATGTGGACTATTTTATGGGACGGAGGTAGTATTTCATCTGTAATGAATAAATTATTTTGATTAATTAAGTAAGTTTTTTCGAGTTTTTTTTAATCTAGAAATTTTGTTTGTTTTTTAATGATATAAAAAATGACAAAGAAAATAAAAAAAGAAAAAAAAATTAGACCCAATAGTTTTTACCTGTTATATTGTTTTGATAAGCTTAGAACATAATTAATCAATTTTAAAAAGATTGAGATGAATTAGTACACTGATAGACACATTGTGATGTATCCACTCATTTACTCGTAAGTATAGTAAGCCTCGAGATTTACCATCCATCATTACTAACTACCCGTTACAGATACTAAAACCCATCAATAATAGAATTGGAATAA